GTCCAAAAGAGGTGCAGGTCATTTTCTTCTATTTACTTACAATGAAGATTTCTGAAAATCGACCTGACCCCACCGACCACCGTTATGAAAACTTGGTGATCTGACCTTGAGCTACCCGGTACAAAATTGTTTTTTCCTGTTCTCTCTCGAGGAACGCTTCAAAATCTTGTCAGTTTGGGGCGCTGCAGGAGGAGCGCATGTCCCAATTGTAGTAAATTAATTTGCCCCTAATGCCCCCTTCGATCTGCTAGTGAGCTGCACCGAAAAGATGTGTTACCTATAACGTATCCGGAAACGGCAGCGCAGTAACGTTCGCGGTTAACCGTATGGGGAAGAGGGGGGGGGGGGTTGCTACTTGCGGGTCGCAGTTTGCGATTTTATCTAAGATAGCGCTTAGCTTACAGAGAGCAAAAACCGTCCAGACTGATGTTTTCTTTGAACACGGTTTTCGTCAATAACTTTCGGCACAGAGTTTGTATATTGGTTTCAACGGCATTGTGTTTTTCTTGCATGATTGAACTATGCTTTTACTTTAAAGTTTTTTTTTTCTCGAAAATTTGACCGAGGGTCAGTCATCACCATAACCGGAAAATACCATGGGGTATACTGTACATCAGTCAATCCGTATATCATTGGACTTAAATTGTTCAAGGTGCTTTCATCGCTCTAGCACGTCTATCAAGTTAATGCCAAAGGCTGCTGGTAGCCTTTCATGACCTTCATGACTTCATGGTTTTGAGGTGTCAACACGATTTTTAATATTACAGAAAACCCGTATGGGGATGGCGTAGCATCGCCCCATCCCCATCATGGCGCCGGTCTCATTCTCGGAGCTCTGTCAGTTGCCAAAGCGGTCATTTTTCTCCACGTCCGGATTAGTAGCTGGCTTCAGTCCTAATACCATCCGCCGGTGTGAGGCAACATTATCCCCTCGCAAATCGTGTCCGTTTCATCACGCCGGAGATGTCTCAGCCGGATGTCGTGGATGGATCATTACTGACTGCCGGCTTTGCGGGGTACGGCACCAGCGGCAAAAATGCCCATCCGGGAGCTTCCTGCCTACACGCCAAATGATGTATGCAGCTCGCCTCTCTTGCACAACAGTGCACCGCGCGAACGGGACTAACCAGTCTTTGGGCACAAATGGGTCGATGTGAAGACAAACGGAGCGAGAAGGGTCTGTCGCCAGTCGAGCTCTGTCCTCTAGGACGGTCGGTGGTCGGCGGCGGCTGTAGACTCTGCTGGTCCAGCCTCCTCTGTCGACCAGCCATCCTTCCTGAGGTGACAGACCAGTAGTGACTCTGACCATGGTGCCGTCCCGCTGTCTCGCGCTGCCCGCGCTGTTCGTGCTGGTCATGCTGGCCGCGTGCTGTGACGGTCAGGTGGAGAGCTGGCTGCCGCTGCTCCGGCCCGACCCCTACTTTGAGTTCATGTACGTGCCCATCATCACGCTAATCATGCGCTCCACGGAGCTGCTGCAGGGCATCGCTGGCTCCTACAAGGGTGAGTCGCTCCCGGCGGGGATCTTCCAGAGCTGTCGGGAAGTACCAGGGCGCATGTGTCCTGCACTGTGTGGCATGCTTTTTGTTGGATAACGATTGATACGTAAATTACGATCGAGCTTCTGCACATTTGTCTTGTGCTGATTAAATTATACATTCAGTGGCTGTGACCACTGACGGATCCAGGGGAAGGGGTGCATTTGGAGCAAATGCCCGCCCCCGCAGCACCTTAACCCTCGCCCGTATTGGTGCTTTTCCAGCCGAGAACGTATAAGGGTGGGGTAGGGGTGGGGTCCGTTACCCCCCCCCCCCCACTTGCCGTTTCGCCCCGGATCGAGCTAGAGCTTCGCGGAAAAACGAGCGTGTTGCCCGTGACGAGAGGAAGCCGATGATACCCAATTTTAAGGTCCTAGGTCATTGGTTGACCTTCCAGGTCAGGTCAATGACCCAAAACTCGGGAAAATCGGGACCTGTTAGAACGTCGTAAAGTGTGGCTTCTATGGGGTTTTTCGGGGTGCTGATCACGAATGTCATGTTAGTTTTGATCACAGATGATGTTTTAATGCATTTAGGCCAGGTCGGGTCAGGTCAGGTCAGATCATCCAGTAGGGGTCCTGCCGGGTATTCGTAGTAGGTTTCAACCGTCTCTGACAGCTTCGTAACATGTTACGAAGGCACCAAAACTACTTCGTAAATGTTCATATGGCTGTTAACTTCGAATTCAGCTCCAAAAACTGGCCTAGAAACATGAAGAAATAGTATGCAGTGCTCTAGCGAGGAACATCTTGATATATGTAGTTAGGATTTTAAATGACCTTTTCCTCGATAATCAATTGGAAATTCAATAAAAAGTAAATATTATATTGTTTGGCAAATTTTCAAACAACAGTTCATTCTCAAGCCACATGAAACAATTGTTTCATGTGGCTTGAGAATGAACTGTTGTTCGAAAATTTGCCAAACAATATAATATTTACTTTTTATTGAATTTCCAGTTAATTATCGAGGAAAAGGTCATTTAAAATCCTAACTACATAGGCCTAGAAACATGTAAAACTCGAAAAATGAACCGAGGTCATCAAAGGTCAATGACCTGACCTGACCTTCAGGTGACCTTGACACCTACCCTAATGCATGGGGCAACATGATATCACATGTTTGAACGTTTGAACGCACGAAAAGACTGCAAAAGCGCGGCTAATGCGAGCCGACGTACGCCGAATCGCGATTCCGGCCAAACATGGTCTCGAAAAGTAGGTCACAGGTCAAAGGTTATTTGGGTCAGGGTCATGAAATTTTCAGAGTAGGTGTACAATTGATCAACTCGAGGGTACTGAAAGTTTTGTCGCGATCGGCAGCTTTTTACGCAAGTTATTCGCGAAAAATCGAGGGGGGATCCGTTCAATCCCTCTCCTATACGGGCGAGGGTTATTTCCATGAAAATTTACCGTTTTTCTAGAATACAAAGCAAACTAATCTACAATGAAAAGTGTACTGATCTACGTGAAAAGCAAAAATTTGATTTTCATGACCCGATGCATAACTCGTGAACCCAAAGAGCTGCAGCGTTGGGGAAAAGCGCTTTTGGATAGATCTTCCAAAGCTCTTGCTATTTTGCTCTCAGATTTGACCTCAGATCAGCAAGTTTGGTCCAAAGAGGGCGAACACCGCAAAATAGACGTGTCTGCCTGTACAGTTTTTTTTGCAATATTATGTAAATGTTAGCCACTTTATCAGTGTATGACACTTATATTGCCGCAATGTTATTCCTCTCGTCGATTCGCGTCCTTTGAACATTGATTTGACCTCAAAGAGGTCAATTTGAAGATTTGACTAAGTCAGAGTAATGACCTGACCAGGAAAGTCATGTAGCATATCAATCGATCCGTATTGCTGAGCTGAACACATTGCAGCTGTTTTGATCTCTCTACCATAACATGTGACGCACGCTTTCTGACCGACGTCTTCACACTCAGGCTAACATAATTATAGACTCAATTCTATCTCGGCGAACTGTGACTTTTTCCTCTTTGAATAACTATCTCCATACGTGTAGCATTATTACATATTGAGTGTTACATTGTTGACAGCCCTTTGCGTCGGAACACTTCGGCTCCAGAGACGCTTCGGCTTGGGACCCATTGGTTCTACTTTTTATCCAATGAAAGGCAACGCAAAAGCTGAAAGCCTTGTATAGTTCAAAATAGGTCATCATTCGCATGCCCGCATGTTACAGCGTTGTCGCAATGTCATGGCATCGTGAGTCCGTGACATTAGCATTCAGGAGTGTAGGGTGTTATCCGGCCACTTGCTGAAGAGAATAAACAGGTTCAACCACCTGATATGACACGGTTTGGGAAGAAGATCTCCGGGAAATGTCATCACAAGTAAAATGCTCTTGCACGATGCGCGTGTATTACAACAATGGACTTTGAACGGGACTTACCAGTCTTTGGGCACAAATGGGTCGATGTGAAGACAAACGGAGCGAGAAGGGTCTGTCGCCAGTCGAGCTCTGTCCTCTAGGACGGTCGGTGGTGTGTGGCGGCTGTACGGACTCTGCTGGTCCAGCCTCCTCCGTGAGCCAGCCATCCTTCCTGAGGTGACAGACCAGTAGTGCCTCTGACCATGGTGCCGTCCCGATGTCTCGCGCTGCCCACGCTGGCCGTGGTGGCCGTGCTGGCCACGTGCTGTGACGGTCAGGTGGAGAGCTGGCTGCCGCTGCTCCGGCCCGACCCCTACTTTGAGTTCATGTACGTGCCCATCATCACGCTAATCATGCGTTCCACGGAGCTGCTGCAGGGCATCGCCCGCTCCTACAAAGGTGAGCTTTTACACCGTACTTCTTCGTCGGTGTCTCGAGAGTCGAGACATTTAAAGCATTGCAGCCATCCATCTGAATAATAGGCCGTGCTTTTTCTTTTGTGGTTGCCGTTATTTCTGCAGTCGGACTTCTATCTTCTTGGCGCTTTTTATGCAATATGCAGTCTATTGCACGCCCAAAGAGCCGCTGCTCTGGGAGCTCTGTCCGTCAGCGGAGCTGAGTGATGCTGCAGTAAAGAGAAAAGGAGATGCTTCTTTATCATTTCTATCAAAACTCTGCTGCAACCCATCGAAAGATTCGAGTTGAAGTTAGCTAGCACTCCTGAAATTAAAATAACATTTGCAGGCATTCAAAAGGAACATGTTGCAAAATATCTGCGACTTTATTCACTCAAATATATGTTATTTATTAAAATAACAGTTTTAAAGGAGGTGCGTGCCTTCATGCCGGTACTTTACATAGGCGTTCGCCCTATATGCAATGAGCTGTGCCGGGAGGTCGGGGAGTGGGTCAGCCGCCCCCGCCCCCGCCTCCCTCCCCCGTGGCAGACCGTCCTGCCATTGGTCGCCGCTCGCGCGACACTGGCGGTCCGCCGCGCGCGACACAGGCGCGCCACGCCCCCATAATCTATCCGCGGCTCCGGGGCGGCCACCCTCGCAAAAAGCCGACACTCAACAGTCAGTTTTTGTGTGGCATAGTGGCTGCCTAGCCACGGGCCGGCAGTCGCGCCAGTCGTCTTTGGACCGGGCACCGGCGTGTTGATAGGGGAGCGGTGACCCGTGCGTGAGCTTCCGAGTCTCGCGTGTCGCCGGGGCCGTCGGTAGGTGTCGGATTCTCCTCGGTAGGCGGAGTGGACGGTGGGCTCAGGTGCTGTGGTTCAACAGAGTTGAGTGCCGTGAACGACTCTGTGCATGGTCGGATATTGTGCCAGGCGAGGTTGTCTCAGTGCAGTGAGGTGACATTTGTGAGTCAGTTCAGCCGACTCCCAGCACCGATGCGCGCTGCCGGCCGGCTGACTACTCATCTGGGCACGATGCGGGTGGGCCGGCTGCTGACGGTGGCCGTCCTGCTGACCGTGCTGCTGGCGGAGCTGGGGGACGCTCAGGTGTACCAGCCGCCCGACTGGCTGGCAGAGTTCATCTACCACCCGCTGCTCACCGTCATTGTGCGCGTGTACGAGTTCTGCAAAAATGTCAAAGGAGGCTGGAAAAGTGAGTAGCTTGTTTTCACATCACATAGTGATTTTCGCGAAGCACTGGCCCACTGGTCCCTGTCCAAACACTGCGGTGCTGAGATTGCTCTCGAGTCTCGACCTTCTTATTCCGCTCATGCCCAGCGGCGTATTTAGAAAATCGCAAGGGGGTGCAAGGGCTAGGACGCTCCACCTCCAACCAAGGAGGGCGCCATACGGTCACGAGATAAAAAAAATTCCTTAACGAGATCTCAGATCGCTCAGGATGGGAAGGGGCTACCCCCCACGCCTTCAGTTTTATGCGTGTGTAAGGACTAAGGAAAGCCGCGACGCCAAGTGCTGCGAGACTTGGTTAGGTATAGGTTATGCTGCACTGATTTCGCATCGCGTATATTTTTCGCTTTCGACCGCCTTTCTGGATCCGACAGTGGAAATAATTGTTTTAAAGGCAGTGCGGGCCTTCGTTCAGACACTTGCCGCACCAATTGGTTTTCTACATACTGAGGGCGTAGGGGCTGGTACGACCCACTCTCAGTTTCGCCCGTAATGGAGTTAGAGCCTAGAAGAAAAAACGAGCGCGTGTGCCGTAACGAGACGCAACGATTCGTACCCAACTTTAAGGTTTTAGGTCAACCGGTGACCTCTGAGGTCAGGTCAAGTGGCCAAGGGCACGGTTAATAGCTTCACAAAAATGGCCCCAGACCCGCAATTTCGACATCATTGCGTTCATCTAGCTCAGGCGCGTCGTATGGTAGTTCGGGTGAGGTCAACTTAACCCGCGAGTTGCTGGGGGGGCGTTAAACGCCCCCACTTTTTTCGCCGGGCCATAGCATAAAAACGGCGCGCCGCAGGCGCGCCAAATTTTGGGTACCTGTAGGGAATTGATTGAAGTTTATTGTGACAAAGTTTTAAAAAAATCGGTCGGAAACTTTTTGAGATATCGAGGTTTTAGTGATGTCATGATTTCTGAGTTTTCGACCAAAAACGGCATATGTTCAAAAAATCATATTAAATCACAGAATAAACATACAGACATGCCGTAAACGCCATTAGACTGCCAATACCATGATCAATCAAATGGCTATCTTCGACTATTGATTACCGTTCCGCATTTTGCATAATCTTGAACTGAATCTTGGCAATTTTTCGTGACTACTTCACGACCATGATACATGAATTTATTAAATTGAAATTTTTGAGCCAAACACGTACACATATGATAAAATGATTGTCACCATCGTGTTCTACGCCCCAAATTACCTATAAAACATGTGTCACAGGCTGCGAATATCAGTTTTGATTTTCGGGGATATGTGCCTACCCGGTTGACCTGACCTTGACCCTGACCTATGCTTGACTGACCCCTACATGGAGCTGACACTCTTGTAGGCCTTATAAGATGGTTTGTGCACCGTTTTGACAGAGTTTATGGCGAGAGGCGCCCATTGCGAAGTCCTGAAGTCCATGCTACTGAAAGCCCGATTTCGGGTGTTTGACCTGACCTTGACCCGACCTGTGACCTCAAAATTCAACTTTAAAGTACTCATCTGAAGCGTCTCGTCGCGCTCTTTCGTTTGCCGCCTCGTGCGTTTCGCTGCGCCTATTGGTTCTCGAGTTATCGGCTGGGGGCGTTTAACGCCCCCCCCCCCAGCAAACGGTGGGTGGCGAAATACCCCAGCAACTGCCGGGTTAAGGTGCTGACCTCGGGTCAAGGTCAAGTCAGAGCCCCAGATCATAAAATTGGTCGGAGGTCATATTGCATATAATTCGATTCGGCAGGTCTTCCCCAGTCCATTGGTGGATTTCGCGACTTTCGTAGCTCAATTTGTTATGGGGGTATTGACGAAAAACTGTTATGACCCATAGTGACGTCATATATGACGTCACGCAAGGTCAACAATGCAAAAGTGAAGCATCGAACCTTGCAAGGAGTGCATGAAATCACGGTTATATGTGCTTTACAAAGTTTTAGATCATTTCCGGCGCCAAAATAACAGTTTCCATATTTCCCCATTGACTTAGGGGAGAGTGGGGCAAAGCGGCCACCCGGGGCAAAGCGGCCATCCATCGTTTTAGCCCTCCACAGCTGGCGTCAGTTCCAATTTATGATTTCCAATTATACTTCTCTTTGCGGTCGTTCGAATGAGCCAGACCGGGGTTTCAGGCCCATCGCCATTGTTCTGTGAAACACGGAAAACCATTTCTTGCGAGGTTACCAATTATGTTTACAATTTTTAAATGTTATTTTATTCCATAACCGTTTGGAATTTTTATAAGCGTTTTTGTCCATGCATTGCGTGGTTATCGTACATGCCTTCTACCAATTTTAATGCTTTTTACCCCACTAATAGCTGAGCTGGAATATTTTTGTCTCGGACGGTAGCGCGGGGCAAAGCGGCCGGGGCAAAGTGGCCAGCCCCCAATTGGCCATAAGTTGTTTCCATCTGGATAAAAACATTATTTATATTCAAATGTGTCGTCATGCATTCATCTTGGCCACTTTTCGGTTACATGAGTTACCAAATTATGCAATTAAATGTTTTTCCAAGAAAATTCTTTCTTTGTTTAGCAATAGGTGGGAAGATAACAAAGTAAACATCCATCTTCCCTTAAACCTTGTCACCATCAAATACCCTAGTCATGCATGAGGCAACTATTCTGTTTCTCATATCGGGACTTGAGAAGTCGCCAGTGGCCGCTTTGCCTCAGGGATGGGGCAAAGTGGCCAATATGCTATAGGTTTAAAATTTTGTCAATATCTCCCATATGTGAACGCCTTTGGAAATGAAACGCAGTTGGAATAAAAGACAATTTAAAGGAAAAGGGCCACCTTTAACATGGGGATTGAAACTGAGATAGCCATCTTGTAGCCCGTGTCCGAAAACATATCTGTCTACCTCCTTACGGCCGATTTCGGCCTCCATTCGTAGTTATCGGCAATTTTAAAAGAAAATATGCCAGGAATGCGTCCTTATCCCAGGAATGCGTTCTTATCCGACAATACAGCCACCCGCGGCGAGGCTTTGGTTTTTTACCAATCAGCTCCAACCAGATCGGCTTTAACCAATCAGCTTATCTGACACAATCCGACGAGTCTGTCTTCTGAACGCTGATTGGCTTGAGTGTGACGTCATCGCTATGCCATCATACAGTAGGTGCCGTAGAGAGTATCAACATAGTACCAATATGTTAAATAGTTTTAAATACTTTTTCGCGAATTGTGCACTTCTGGCACCAGTTTTAAAAAGAAAATGAAAAATAATAATGTCAAAATTAAAAACAACGATATCTTCATATTTCACGAAGGTGGCCCTTTTCCTTTAATAGGGATCACATTGGTATAGAAAGAATCTTTCCAAGTTTAAAAATCAAGCGTCGGCAACGGCATCTTTACAAACGTTAGGGTGGCCGCTTTGCCCCACTCTCCCCTACCTATAATGACCTGAGGTCACGTGATCGACCTGACCTCGTGTGACCTTAAGGAAAAATCTGAACTGCACAAGTTGTGAGACCTCTGAAGGATACTACGTCCTGTAAGTTTCGTCTCCCTGTGAAAGTTCCTCTGGCGCTGAGGGCGTTGAGAAGTTGCGACATCCGAGGACCATGCAGAGGTTCACGTATGACGTCATAGGTCAGTGACCTGACCTGACCTGAAAATGCAGTTGGTGTCACAAGATCCGGCTTGATGCAAAGGGCAGCTATGCAACAGCTCTCTATCGTTAGCGTGTACTGAGTTATCGCGAAAAACGCATGGGGGCGGCACCCGTCTCCCCCCTTCCCTCGGCCAGCGAGCGTTAACAATTAACATATATGCAATGAGCATATGCAATGAGCTGTGCCGGGAGACCAGTGAGTGGGTCAGCAGTCAGCCCTCCCCCCCTGGCAGACCGTCCTGCCATTGGTCGCCCCATGCGACACCGGGGGTGTCACTGCAGTGTCTGAGTCAGTTGATCGGTCTCCCAGTACCGATGCGCTCTGACAGCCGGCCGCTGGGGACCCCGGCCGGCTGACTACCCGTCTGGGCACGATGCGGGTGGGCCGGCTGCTGACGGTGGCCGCCCTGCTGACCGTGCTGTTGGCGGTGCTGGGGGACGCTCAGGTGTACCAGCCGCCCGACACGTGGTCTGAGTTCGTCACCCATCCCCTGCTCACCGTCATTGTGCGCGTGTACGAGTTCTGCAAAAATGTCAGAGGAGGCTGGAAAAGTGAGTAGCCAGTACTGTTATTGCATCGCAAAGTATTTATCGCGAAGCATTGAGTATTGACCCCTTGGCCCGTGCCAAATTCTGAAGTGCTGGGTTGCTCTCGGCTCTCTAAATCCGCCCCTGTGTCATTATTTGGTGAGCGACAGGCTGTGTTCCAAAGGCTGTAAACATGCCCTGGGCCCAACGAAACGCCAACATTTCTTTCACGTTGATGTACCCGAAAGTGAAACAGCTTTGGAGAAATGATAGCAAATGATTTGCTTTACTACGAGCGTTTTTTTCAGAATGATATCGGACCTATGATCTTGCATTGAGGGATGCACTTTGAAAAAATTGGTCTCAAATTAGGGTTATGAGTATCTTTACGTACCTAAGAGGTTATGCCGAGTATATCTCGGCATCTTTAAATACAATTTTACGTGTTGCTGAATAAGCGAGCGTGCAGCTCTTTGAGAAGGTATTGGCTTGACAATAAAATTTATGTACTCTTTGAGTAGGTACACGTTTTTCATGTTTCGGGCCCTAACTTATAATGATCGTAGTGTTCTGGGCCTCGGTCCTCGGATGCTCGTATTCAGCTCCTCAACCATTCACCGGAAGTCAGTTATATAAAATGGAAACTGGGATACCCTTTTATGTTTTTATTACATTCGAATGCGGCTTGAAAGCCACTAAAGCCCTGGCTGATTCTGCAGAACATGCATCGGCATAGGTCAAGTAGGTGACGCATGATTGTAATCGATGGCTCTGAGCCAAAGAAACTCTCTAAACAATGTCAATTTATTCGCCGGTCAGTTTCGCCTCGTCATGCTGCGTAGCGATGGGCGTGTGCTACCGCATTCCGCTGTATGCATGCGTCGGTGCGGACATTGTCCTCCTGAGTTATCGTTTAGCATGTGCATCTTATTTGGTGTCCGTCCAACTGACGGGCGCCGTGCATTGCATTCATGCATTATTCCGGTGTTTGTTAAATATCGCTCTGCAGTGTGACATGGAAAGACTGTGTCTGTGTCTGCATCTGCTCAACACCCTGGCTTTCACGCTGATCTCATGAGATACTAAACGTCTACCTGTCGGTATATCAAAATCCTATATGTAGGACTCTGTCGGAATATCAAAATCCAGTGTAGGCTTGTTGGTACTTACTGATGTTATTACTGTCGTGTTCATGTGTTGGGGTAGGTAAAGTCGATCGACCGATGACCATTTTCAGTTCAGTCGGTATACTTCCATATCTTAAATCTCATCCATTTTTCGAAAAAGGGATTGGTGAAAGTTAACTCGTGACTTAGCGAAACCTCTGTTGCGATTCCTCAGATATTCACGAGTTTGTAGAGATTTCTGCGCGAGTTTCGGCATTGTTTTGTCGCCGGAGCCTCAGATTCACAGCGGCTGCCGAAGCACCAACAAGGCCCGATGAGCCAGCACAATGCCGTATTTGCTCAGGCACACGCCAAGCCGGAAGGATGAATGGGTGTTGGACTTCCCGGATGGCCGGTGTGCTTTGCCTCTCTCTTTCTGGCCAGCCATGGAAAAAGGCAACTCCATCGCTTCCGCCACCACCCCCACGGGCACTGTCTCTGTGTCGCTACTTCACTTCCCTTAGGAAACTCCTGACGTCTTCCGCGGCAGTCGGTGGCGCGCCTGTGGCTGTGGTGGCGCGTGACTGCGCCGTTACACCGTGACGCGCGCGCTGGCACGGCGGCGGGGCGGAGGCGGCGGCGGCGGGAGTCTTCCGCGGCCGGTCGGCGCGCTGACACGGAGCCATGCGGGCGCGGTCAGCGCGGCCAGCGAGGCACCTTCTTGCCGCTGTGGTGCTACTGGTGACTGTGCACGAGGCCAGGGCCATATTTCGACACCGCTGGCTGGTGCCAAATCTCTACTTCCCCATGATCCGTGCGCTAGATCGTAACGCAAACGCCACTCGCAAGGTGTTCGGAGGACTGTCGAGGATTTTTGGTGAGTAATCCCTTTTCCGGCTGTCTCGTAAGACCGGATTTGCTGCGGTAAAGGAGGCTGGTTGTGGGATTATCTCACTCGTGAAGGGATAAAGCCGGATGTCGCTTTCTCTCGCACATGATGCGCCTACCTGACATGAGCTCTTTTCTGCATTTGCAACGCTGACGAATTTGCATCTTGCAAACGGTGACTAAGTTTGTGACAAGATGCATGAGCACGCTAAGTTTGAAGTGTGCCGCTCTTCTAGGAGCGGTCATCTGATGTCGCATTACCATGAGGATATGAAAGCGTCCTTCCCATAGTTGCGCTAGTGCGTGGAATTTGATGAATATTGCATGAATGTAACAGAATGTTCTTCACATTGCTCTGGTGCAAGATAAATTCCTGCCGCCGACTGGGGTTTAATGAGGTGCAGCGGAGCGGCGCTGGTGGATATCTATCGGATGATCTTAAACTCGTGAGATACGTCTTTTTATGTTTACACTGAGGATATGAAATTATATCTACCAAATCGTAGATATCATTTTTAGTTGTTGTGATGCAAATTATATAGTTTTTGTTTTATAGCTCAAGTTGTTAAGACTTAGGACGTAAAAGGGATGCTAATTGAAAAGCCGTTGACTTTTAGTGAGACTTACCAAATTGTTTGCTTAGGTACACATTAGCATGGTTTTGCAATGTCATAGGTGAAAATTTAGTTTTCCAGAATATGATCGTGGTTTCTGTCAATTTCTCTTAATCCAAATAGAACGTCACGTTTGCTTTCTTCGCTCATCCCAGGCTCACCCACACAGACCATTGTGTGTAAAGTAGCCGTGCCAACCCTTCTAGGGTGAACAGGCGCGATCGAGGAGGCCAGTTCCAGTTTCCCCAGTTTCACTCTGCACCGACTATCATCATTCGCGTCTCACGTCAGCCGAGCACACGCTAACTGCTCACACTGATATCACGTGACCTTTTTCTTTGCCTAATTCCTATCCGATAATGGTCTTGAAACATGCACATTATGCAATATAGCCACGCGATACTTCAACCTATGACTTTTCCGGTGTTGTTTTATCATCAAAAATGAAATAAATCAAATCATGCTGTCTATTTCCCTGTGCTGTCCAGACGGATTCCAGTGCTCGAATTTATTAAACAATTACTGGTATCGATAAGTTTAGAACGCTGAAATATTTTGCAACTGCATTGGGACTTCTGTTTTCAATTGAAATTGTTACCACGTGGAAACGACCATCTCCGATAATGTAAATCCTTTTCACCTACTCACTGGGCATTTTACCCGGGCACTGGGCAGGTTACATTTGTTACGGGTCTTAGCTCACTAACGACTCACGAGGCTTTCTGTCTTGGCTGCCTTACACTGGATGACTCGGCCTTCCCATAAGCGTGCCGTGGTGAGTGTAAGCCCCGCGTGCCTGTGTGCCAGCTGCCCGCGTGTGCTGCAATGTGGGTCACCGGCTCACCCGCCCGCCGTCCGCGCGACACCGTCCGAGCGGGAACCGGAAAGGTTCAGACGGTGTCCAGAGGTCGGGCGCTTGCATCATTCAGGCGCCAATTACAAGCAAACCGGCCGCAGTATGCCGATGCGGATGAGAAGAGAAATGATGTTCATTTTCCCCGGAGGTATTGTGATAGCAGCGTAATCTGTAGGACTTTTGACCCGCGCTATTCTAATTTTCTAGCAGAATGAGCCCTGTTAATGGCGAATAGCGAGAGTTACCGAAGCGGGCAGAATCGGATCTGATTAGCATGTGGGTGTTTGAGGTTAATTGCAGCTTTAATTACATTTTCATCGGCTGCATCTGGACTTACTGCTGCTACACCTCTCCAATTACTGCTCATTTGCATACTCAGCGATGTTTTCTCCCGCTGTGATGCACGCTACACTAACAGCTAATGTGCCTCACGAGCATTTCACTGATTTCTCCCAGTACCAGTACCAGACAATAGACATGTCAAGTGTCAACTCGCAAAAACGCAGTTGCGCTTATGTTCAGTTTGTGTGCGTTTCTATGACTTACGTCGCATTGTAAACATCCGTGACAGCTCGCATATTCCGCGATGTCTCAGATTTCGCAACGTCATACGTCCCTGCAGCAACGGGTTGATCCGGAAATAGAAATCGACAGTCAATGCGACCCATACCAAACCAGTCAGCCACCGGTCGCTCGGTGCGGGCGAGGCTTCTATCGTTCGCTCCTAACTCACAGTAGCTCTCTCCTGCTCGGCCGCTCCTGTTGTGCATATCTACACGTGCACACAGAGGTGCACAGTGACGCACACATTCGCTGTACTGCACAGTGCACACAGAAATAGGGGACAGTGTAACCGCTGCACCTCCAGCGCAGCATACAACAGAGGCTTGGCGGCCAGTGGGTCGTCTCACTCATGGCATGCGGCGTGCATTTGCCTGGTTGTGATGGGATGTAGTCGGTATTCAGCAATCACAGGTAGATCTATAGGCACTGGGTATTCGTGGTTCACGGCATATAACGTGAATCACTAATTTGTCGTTGACGGGAGTTTTAACAGTAATGACTATGTTCGATGGACAGTAATGAGGCTGTTAATGGATAATGATCCGTAATAATGATTGGTCAGTGGTCACCGATGCAATGGCCATTCTTGTCAGAGCCGCTGCGACTTGTGGTCAATCAATAGCATTGATCTAGCGACATGTGGCACCGTAATGCCTATCATATCAATGATCCGTGGGTGGACACATTCTTGGTAGACCTGATTTCGAACAGTCTGTTTTCTCACGCAGATAGTGCTACTACCAGTAGGAGCTATGAAATTATGATGTCTTTATGAACGTAGTTAGCTGGCCGTACATAGCTCAGTCTGTCATGGGACGTTCGACAATCGACCTGATCCCGTCTCGTAAGCGTAAGTAAAACGCTCCCGTCACAAGCGACAACTACGCGTGAGCGCTGCGCCGTGACGGGGACGCGCGTCTGCCCCAGCTGGTCAGAACCGTGGCGTCTGCGTAACGTTTCTCGTCACACACCGTTACGTTCTGCGTGACTCTGCGGACTGGTCTGTCACGGGTCTCCATGAGGTGGCTAACTCACCTGAAGACGGCGTTACAGGGGCGTTGAGCACTGAGCAGTAAACAGTACATGGCTGGTTGTATTTCATTCATTCAGTGAATGAAATGAATGCGGAACTACGTATTGCACGTTTTATGATAGGCATTTTTCGATCACCGAGCAGTGTGTAATGCTAGCTTCTGACTCACGGTCGCATCTTTCGTCACACACCGAATAAGTATTCGCTGCTCGGCCCCGTACGGCAATGCCGAGAGCTGGTGACTGCATCTATAAACAAGAACATAACCGGAGACTGCAACATTACATAGAAAGGCAGCACCACGGTGTTCAAACGATCTCAGTTCCATGGAGCGCAGTGAGGAGCAACACAACGCTTCTGAATGGAGCTTGATTAAGTCCAAGAGCTCTTAATTCACTCCCATGCCACCGATTGACCTGTCTATGACTCTCCTGTCGGCCGTCCATTCGCATGTGTATGTGTGTTTGTGACCGTAAATGTGTTTGTGTGTCTTCCACTCTGCGTCACCTCTCACATATGGGTGCTCAGTCTCTGACACTTCATGGGCTTTACTGCGTCTTTCACTCATTGATTTTTCTATCTTAGACTGACACTGTGGTTCTGTTTCGGCAGCGTTCCTGGGCCGGAGGCGTCGCTCGCTGGACTCACCCTCCGTCGACGAGGCCGGTGACCCGTGTGACCTGCGGGTGCCCTGTCTGGCCCTCAAGGCGATGGACGCAGGAACCCTGGACCAGTGGGTCGAGGAAAGGTCAGTGTGCGGGGAATGGTCGGCCTGCACCTCAATGCGAGCCGAGGGGTAAAGGTCGCAGTAACACTGCAACAGTTAAACGCCTGCTCCTCGCACTATGTATTAGTGGGGTGGAGATTGATCAGTCCTTGAGATTCTTATGAACATTTCTGATGCGCTGGTGAGCATGGGCTGCTTCGTGGGTAGCAGAGAGGGCCAGGGGAGCAAACGCGATTGTTTTGGCTAGATGCTTGTTTTTATCAGATCAGAACAGAGATCATAAATGTGCAATAGTATGTACGTTTCATCCATTCGTTGGCAGTCCGAGTTAGAAGTCGGTCTGTGCTACCGAAATGCTAACGAAGTGGGGAAAGCCCTAACGTGCCCACTGGAGAGCCTGTGCTGGTTGCTGACGGTGCTAAGTCTGAGAATAACGACATGGCTCGCTCCCAATTTCTCCTGAGCCTCACTCACACGGAGCCATCACGATCGCCCATATATCGAGCGGCGGTCACGAACCGACGCGGGACTCTCACTGGCAACTTCCTCTCACTCTTAGCGCTAGTCGCCGGTGAGTTGCGCACTTTTCCCAGCGCTCAACGTTCTCTCAACATGCTAAAATCCACATTCAATTTCGCGCTTTGGCTACTTATCCCATGAAAACGCAACGCGAAATGTTTCTCTGTTGTAAGCTGGCGTCGTACATATGTGCATAATTGCGCGGTTTCGCAGATGAAAGCTTGTCCGAAGTGATGGTAGTAGAATGGCTTCTGACAGTCCCAACCACATGCATTCACTCTGAGAGCTCGTAAAACAGTCTATTGGAGCTGCAGCGCTTGAGAGCCGCCGACCGACCCTTTCGAATGTGACTGAACCCTGTCGGATTTCATCGGTTTCCACCGCTAGGTAATGGTTGGTATTGTGACATGCCGAACGGAAGACGGTTGTGGCGGTCCTCTCACTTACATAGGTAAAAACTAATCCACACCCATGATGAAAAAATGTTGCCAACTTGTGATCTCATCAAATTGTTCTCAATTCGTTAGCTTGAGATGCCAAAAAACGTCGTCTTTCGAAATCGACATATCTTCTTCGAAAATCTCGAATCGAAACGACCTCTGGCCGCTCACCGGTTTCTAAATGCGTCACTGCGGGACTCCGGAAGTCCATTTGTGGTAACTGGTGCGTCAGCCTTCTCATAAAAGCGTGCCATCGTAAGAAATGAGCTGTTTTGCTTCGCATGAGTAGTTTGCACGCATTCTGACTTAATTCGACAATTCAACGCATTCGACAATGGGTTAGAATTTATGTACGATATGCCACAACTGTATCAGGCTTGCCGAATCGAAGCTGGAGACAATGTGGTAACCACGTGTGTCGCCGGCCGGCACGGGAGTTCCCGGCGCAGACCGATTCGCGCGCCGACTTGTGACGTCGCTACCCCGCCCCGGCGCTGGGGGGGGGGGGCGGCCCAGGACGTGTCTGTTCGTGAACTTTGTCCCATCACGATGCGACCGCGTGCCTGCGGCCTGCGCTGCCGCAGTGCGTCGGCCAGTGACCAATCCGCGCTCCGATCGGCAGCCACGTGGTGTCCGAGTGTTTCTGCGCATGTCTGGGGCCCAGCCCGCTGCGTCGGGCCGCGCGCTCCGCTCCCCCGACATTCTAGGCCGAGCTCTTGACCCGAGCAGACGCGTCACGTCTGGCTCCATTAGGCCCGTTCTGTCCGGGATTTAGAACTTTAGATTAGCAGGGCATTCTTGGCAAACTTTGATTCCGTTCTCGTCTTTTGGTCACTCCACTGCATGATTCGTTGTTTCGGTTTTTGCCTTCGTTTTGGAACTTAAAATATAACAACCCGCTCTTTTAATTAATTCTTTTACTTGGGGCCGTTTGGATCGAACTGATTGAATTTTTGGAACACGCACCAGGTTGATATTTTCCATTTCTGATTAACGTAAAATCCAGTCACTGATATGTGGTGAACTGCCCCACAGCACCACATATTGGTGACCCCGACGTGATTCTTGTTCGATTTTTCCATACTTCCGGGTTGTCGCCTCCGCTCATTCCCGAATCAATTATTTTATATTATTCCCCGACATGGATTGCTATTCCGTCGCTCCACAGTGGCTTCTGCGCCACTTTTCCATGATGGTTTATGTGCCATCTCTCCGCCGTGTGATTAGTTAGGCATTTATCTTCTCGGTGATTTTATTTCGGCGTTCCATTGGCTCTTTCGGATTTTGCACTCGGTGGTGTTTTAAATTTTAATTGTTCAGTGCATTGCAAACACCGGCTATACTTTAACGATCATGACGAACGAGGGCACGATGGAACCCGCTCATGCTGAGCCGGTCCATCATGTGTCAATCAAGCCGCCGGTTTTTATGGACACCGCGGTTGACGGCTGGTTTGCTATTATGGACGCCCAATTTAACATTGCCAAAATCACCAACTCGCAGACCAAATTCTACCACGTTCTCTCTGCCCTGCCTCCGGAAACCATCTCGCACATTCCGCGTGCTGTCTTGAGCAACAAAAATTTCTCTGAGCTACAGACAGCCGTCACTGACATGTACGAAAAGACAAAGCCAGAGATGTTTGAGAAACTGATCAGCAAAACGCGTCTGACGGGCCGACCCTCACTCTTTCTAAGCGAGCTCAGAGAGGTGGCCGACAAGGTTGGTGTCGGAGACGATCTCGTTCGGCACAAATTTATCCAGTCGCTACCCACAGGCATTGCTACGGCCCTGGCTTCTCAGCGCGAGCTCTCATTGTCGCAGTTGGGCAAACTCGCGGACGAACTGATGCCTCTTGTGCAAAACTCAGCTGCTAACATGGTTCACTGTCAGGATCAGGACCCACAGTCTGACTCACAGGCGTTCCTTGTGGCTCAGCAGCACCCAAGGTACCACAGGGCCACTCAGCCACAGAGCCGAGCCGCCACACACTCCCCTGCTCGTGATGCTCGTGATTCAAGGGCGTCTCTCGGTCTCACGCCGTTCCACCCTGACCAGAAGCCGAAAGTATGCCGTGCTCACCTGTTTTTCGGCAGCCGAGCACGCACTTGCAAGCCATGGTGTCACTGGCCCGACAAAGCTGCTGATCTGACCATGCAGCCGTCCTCACGAGCTGCATCTCCCTCCCGCGCAGCCTCAGAGTCGGGAAACGAGAGGAGCAGGCCGTAAACGCAGCCCTCGGCCTGCCGCTCCTTAGGGTAACAGCCAAGGTGAATGATCAGCCCCTGAAATTCATTGTGGATACTGGCGCTGGTGTATCCCTGGTTCCACCCTCCTATGTGAATGGAACTCTAATTCACCCATTTGCTGTTTCGATCACGACTGCCAGCGGGCAGCCACTGCGCGTGCATGGCGAGGCCACTTTGGATATTGTCCTCCCCACACTCAGACGCAGTTACACATGGACATTTGTAGTGGCTGAAGTGACAGAGCCACTACTCGGTAACGATTTTCTCGCTCACAACTCGTTGGTTGTCGATTGTGGTTCCCAAGTTCTCCGCGACTCCACCACTCTGCTCTCTGCTCCCGGTGTGCCGACGACCGGGGAGTCTGTTCATTTGGTGATAAATGATCTCGCTCAGGTGCCTGAGGCAGTGCGGCCCATCCTAGAGGATCACCCCGCTGTTCTCAGCCCTAACCAGCCGGAGTACACAGACTCGCCAATCAAAACCACTCACTTCATCGACACCGGCAGCGCTCCACCCACGTTCGCCAGCCCACGCAAGCTGCCGCCCGACAAACTAACCGCAGCAAAGCAAGCACTCGATGTGCTGCTCAAAACAGGAGTGATTCGTCCGTCTAGGTCCCCGTGGGCCTCACCCATCCACATGGTTCCGAAGAGTACCCCTGGTGAGTGGCGTGTCACCGGTGATTACCGCGCGCTCAACGCCGTAACCAAACCGGACCGCTACCCACTGCCGCACATTCAGAGCCTCTCAACCAAACTCCACAACGCTCAGTGGTTCAGCAAAATTGATCTGCTCCGTGCATATCACCAGGTGCCTATGAACCCCGCTGACTCAGAGAAGACGGCCGTCACCACGCCCTTCGGCTTGTACGAATACGCCTTCATACCAATGGGGCTCCGCAACGCAGGTGCCACATTCCAGAGGGTCATGGACGGCATCTTCCGAGACGTGCCGTGCGTATTCGTCTATCTTGACGATATCCTGGTATTTTCCGAGAACCAGGAGCAGCATGGAGAAAGATTTGCGCCTCGTGTTCAGCAAGCTGGCTGAGCACAAGCTTCGCATCTCACTGGAGAAATGCGAGTTCATGAAGGAGTCACTCATTTTCCTCGGTCATGACGTCACCAGCACAGGTGTCACACCTCCCAAGGCCAGAGTGAAGGAGATTCTGGACCTCCCTCTACCGCATGACTCAGAGTCACTGCGTCGCTATCTGGGACTCATCGGCTTCTACCGGCGTATGATTCCGCGATTCGCCGATGTCACGTTCCACCTGACCGAACTGATTCGACTCAACCCAAAAAGCAAAGAACTGACGTGGACAGAGGAACAGACTCAGGCGTTCAGTGACAGTAAAGCAGCTCTGGCTGGCGCCTGCACTCTGCCACACCCAGTGCCACACTGCGAGCAGTACGAGCTCGTTACTGACGCATCACAAGTCGCGGTGGGTGCCGCGCTCCATCAGATTGTGGACGGAGTACCCGTTCCCATTGGCTTCTTCTCACGGAAGCTCAGTCAGGCCCAACAGAAGTACGCCGCGTATGACAGAGAGCTACTCGCGGCTTATCTGGCCGCACTCCACTTTCGTGACATGATCGAAGGCCGCCACGTTACCCTGCGAACGGACCACAAGCCACTCGTGCGCGCTTTTCACAGCCCGCACACGGCTAAGTCTGACCGCCAACAGCGCCACTGGTGTGTCGTCACGGAATACATCACGGAGGTCTCGGACATTCGTGGCAGTGACAACGTGGTGGCGGACTGTCTCAGTCGCCCGGTAAATGCAGTGTCCCTCGATGCATGTGACCTCCATTTTATCGCGGCGGCTCAGAAGCAGGAAAAGGAGAGAGACGCCGACAATGCCGATTCAGAGCACCAGGATTCCGAATCAGGTCCAGGATCGCGCTCAAACCCGCAGGACACCTCCCGATTGGAGCCAGTAACACTGTCTGGCGACATCACAGTCCTGTGTGAAAACACTGGATCACATCCACGCCCGTACGTACCAGAGGCATGCAGGCGCGCCGTGTTTGATCGTTTCCACGGCCTGTCACACCCGGGTAGGAAAGGCACCACCCGTCTCATTAGCTCTCGCTATTTCTGGCATGATATGCGCCGTGACATTGCGCGATGGGTGAAGGAGTGTGAAGCATGCCAGGAAGCCAAGGTGCACAGGCACACTCGTTCTCCGCCCGGTCGATTCGATGTGCCCTCACAGCGGTTCGAAACTGTACATATAGACATAGTCGGGCCGCTGCCCCCGTCAGTACCCCACGGGCACCCCTTCACCGCGCCATTTCGTTATTTGTTGACATGCATCGATCGCGCCACGCGTTGGGTCGAGGCCGTGCCGTTGGTCTCGATCACCGCGGAAAGTGTAGCCTCTGCTTTCCTCGACACTTGGGTGTCCCGATTCGGAGTTCCGCTGTATGTTGTCACAGACCGTGGTTCCCAATTTGAAGCGGAACTGTTTGCGCACTTGTCTTCAATGATAGGTTTCCATCGCCTCCGAACCACTGCTTATCATCCGACGTGCAATGGAATGGTGGAACGGGTCCACCGAACGCTCAAAGCCGCCATCCGGGCGCGCAGGCAAGAGTGGCTGCGCGCGCTACCCGTCGTTTTGCTAGGTATAAGAGCTATGCCAGCAGAGTCAGGTTTTTCGGCATTCACTGCCGTCACAGGCGCGCAGGTGCTGTTTCCCCGCTGCGCCGTCGAGAAGGTCCCCGTCGGGACAAAGTACGTCCAAGAACTGGCAAAGCGTATGTCAGAAATCGATTTCGTCACACTCTCACAGGGGTCGAACCACGCCCGCACACCACCGGCGCACGTGCCACCCGATCTCATGACATGCACACACGTGTGGGTACGCGTTGACCGCGTGCGGCACTCTCTGGAGTCCCCGTACCGCGGCCCCATGCGAGTCATCAGACGCAGCCCTAAAGTGTTCACGTTGGAGCTGCCGACTGGCGCCCACGACACTGTAAGCGTCGACAGACTCAAACCGGCACACATGCCGCCACCTGAGGACACGCTTGGTCCGAACAGTACCGAGCCTACGGCTCCGGAGCAGCAGCCGTCACCGTCGACCTCGCTCGGGCCCCTCGCTACTGGGGCGCCCGACGAGCCGACACCGACGCCGACGACTACAAGACCGTCCAGCAAGAGGACTTCAAGACCTGGAGTGACGTCTTCCGCATCGCTGGACGAGGACGACAAGCCGTTCGCGGCTGCGCCGGTGCACACCCGCAGCGGCCGCCGCGTGCACTTCCGGCCGCAACCGGACTTCCGATACTTTTGAGTGCGCCCGCGTACGTGCGTTCGAGGACGATCCTGATCGCGTGGCGCCGACAGTGAAGTGATAACTGCGTCGCGCGGTGTAGTGATTCTTGCGTCGCGGAGGACCGTGCAGTGACAATTGCGTTGCGCCGTACCGTGTAGTGATTATTGCGTCGCGCAGTGAAGTGTCTATCACGTCGCGCACCGAGTGATGTGAAAAGTGATTGTTTTGGCTTATCGTGTATGCGCTCCGCGCTGAGGCGGTGAGTACTGTGGTAACCACGTGTGTCGCCGGCCGGCACGGGAGTTCCCGGCGCAGACCGATTCGCGCGCCGACTTGTGACGTCGCTACCCCGCCCCGGCGCTGGGGGGGGGGGCGGCCCAGGACGTGTCTGTTCGTGAACTTTGTCCCATCACGATGCGACCGCGTGCCTGCGGCCTGCGCTGCCGCAGTGCGTCGGCCAGTGACCAATCCGCGCTCCGATCGGCAGCCACGTGGTGTCCGAGTGTTTCTGCGCATGTCTGGGGCCCAGCCCGCTGCGTCGGGCCGCGCGCTCCGCTCCCCCGACATTCTAGGCCGAGCTCTTGACCCGAGCAGACGCGTCACGTCTGGCTCCATTAGGCCCGTTCTGTCCGGGATTTAGAACTTTAGATTAGCAGGGCATTCTTGGCAAACTTTGATTCCGTTCTCGTCTTTTGGTCACTCCACTGCATGATTCGTTGTTTCGGTTTTTGCCTTCGTTTTGGAACTTAAAATATAACAACCCGCTCTTTTAATTAATTCTTTTACTTGGGGCCGTTTGGATCGAACTGATTGAATTTTTGGAACACGCACCAGGTTGATATTTTCCATTTCTGATTAACGTAAAATCCAGTCACTGATATGTGGTGAACTGCCCCACAGCACCACAACAACATTCGAAAGTTGTCAAGACATCAATTAGGTACAAAACGTCTGGTAATTGATTTGGTTGGATATATGTTTGAAAATGAGTCCATTTACCTTCCAAGGCCTACTTATAAGAGACATCGCTTTTTTATTGGTGCTATCAATAGGTACGCCGGTGAAAGAGATGCACCTGACCTGTGTCACATCAGGCGAATGTAAGGAAGAAACAGTTTCAAACAAATAAACATCTTCATTTGCTGTCTGACGAATTTCTCCAGATATAACTATTAACACTGATTGACTCCCTTTGACCCCAGATAATCTCATTCTGCCCCATTTCCTGGCGTTCGACAGACCATCTTCCGATCACGCCTCCGATAGCCCGCGCCTTTCCCATCCTATCCGGCCGATCTGGGTGCCTCCAATCTGACCTGACCAAGCCCAGCTGATCACGCATTGCCGCTCGACTGACCACCCCCTCTCGGCGGGGGGGGGCGTGACGTCAGCCGGTCAATCCACTTTCCACCGGGGTTCGCCCGACGACCGTCCGGCCCGCCGCGAAAGTCCACCGGCCGGTGCCAGTGTGTGCAACACGCGACCGGCGGGGAACAGGGGGACGGGAGGGTTGGGGAGGGGAGATGACGACTCGCGCTGAGGCGCCGGGGAGGAGGGAGGGGGAGATGAAATAGCCCAGTGTGTGCAACACACCACCGCGGGCGGGGGAAGATAGCAGGTTTAGGCGAGCTGACCTGCTGTTGTGGCGACTGGCAGCGGCTGGAGTCGGCAAGGGGAAACGGAAACACTGATTTACAAAGCCCATTGTGGTCGTCCAAGTGCTTTCAACTCAGCCGCACTCGTCCTACTCTTCAATCCGCTGCTACAGTGGATTGTGGTGGCTTATGTTTGGATCGCAGATAAGCCTCGTCCCGCTCACTTTACGCCAGAGTACCGGTCTACCTCTCCTTGTCCCTGCAGTGCAGAATCAGATCCGTCTAGACACAGCCCCAGTTACGCTCGGGCTGACCTCCCCTCCACCTCTCCCCGTTCCTGCAGTGTAGAATCAGATCCGTCTATGTAGACCCAGCCCTAGTTCCGCTCCGTCTCTCCGTGTACCGTCAGTTCCTTCTGACCGAGTCGGACCGGGTCCCCGACTGGCTGTGTCACCGCTCCGGCCGGGTGTGACCGAGTTCTCGGACTGGACCGGCTCCGGTCCGGCCGACTCCGGAGCCGGGACCGGAGGTCGTCCAGCCGCTGGGAACTGGTCCGACCGACCCCGAGACGCGGCGGAGCGGTCGGGGACCGGCGGACCGGGGCGGTCGCTGCGGCTGGCCCGGTGGTGCACGTATGATGGAATGGAAATGCCGCGGAGGTGCGCATGGAATGCGGATTATGTATGAGATGAGGTCTCGTGATAATAAGTGGTTCCGCGCAGGCTAGGTAAAGGTGCGAGGCGTAGGCCTTGTGTTGCTATCTAACAATTAACCCCAATAACATCGATTCTCTGGACTGAAAAAGCGAGTGTCTAATATTGTCGTGTAGAAACTGCCCTTTCTTGACCACACATTTTGTGTATTTGCCGATTTAGCTGGACCACCCACTCTCGCGCCTGACTTCCAGGGCGTTCTCCGCCGGCCTGTGCGACGGGTCGGGGCACTGAGCAGTGTAGTAGACGGGTCGGCTCCCCATTTTGTGTTACAGCTTATCAGCGAATGTGATCTTATCAGATAAGTGCAACGGAATCACAGCTGCTGACAGCACCTCATGACGATTGTTATCAAATTGCCACAGTAGTAGTCATCAATATTGCTTACCCTCGACGCCCGTTTTACGTCCTTCTATCACCGTTCGCAAAAACAGACACCTGACCCTCGCCTCATCTGTTTACCTCCAGGTGGCCGGCTGCCGCTGGCAAGTGGCGGTCGCAACCGCAGCTGGCGAAGCTGCTGGAGCGCCTGGAGCAGCTGCAGCGGGAGGAGCTGCCGCACAGCCGCCAGCTGCGCCGCAGGGCGTGTCAGGTGGTCCTACAGCGCTGCCCGGCCAGCTAGGAGGCCGGCGCGGTGCCGCGGACTCAGAGGGGCCGCCGCGAGGCGAAGAGTGTGTGAGGGCGAGCGATAGACTGGTGACGTTATGGTACGACTGGTGACGTCATACGATCTAGCCATATGACATCACGGCTTGGATATGACGTTATTCGGTCTGTACTTGTGACGCCACAGTCTGAACATGTGATCTTCGGTCTGGATATATGCCGTCGCAATTCTGAGGTGACGTCTTGCGATATGACCATGTGATGTCATATGAGCTGGATATGCATATGGATGTATGAAGTCACAATAGGGTGGTTTGAAGGTTCGGTTAGGACCGGTACCAGTGACTTTGAACCAATGTCTGAAGATGTGTGATGTCTGTCCGAATGTCGGTCGGAGCCTGATGCCTGTTGTGGATGTTGCGCAGGGGACGTTTGAATGACTTGATGGGGTAGATTGCCTTTGGCAGCGATATTCAGCTGAGCTGGTTTACGCTGCCAAGTCTGCCCACTCCTGCTGTCTGAAAATGGACGAACGGGGGAAACCTGACAGCGGTAGAGAATTCACATATCGGACCTCGAGTCCCAGCCTGTTAGCTCGTTATTCACGCTATGGCGCTGTTACAGCTGTTGTTGCTTTCGTTGTTACTGCTGTTGAAGGACTGCGCTTGTTATTGGTCTGGGGATGAGCGACAATCTGGCCATGACGTGTTCGTTGCTTGTTTCGCGCGTGGTCAGAACGTTTTTTTTTAAGTTACCACATGGGGTTCTATATAGTATATGCAGAGGTCTGTTGTTGCGACGAAGATTCTCTGACCAAGACGTTTCCGTCCCAGAGGCAGCGTTACGATTGTTAGATTGTTAATTTATTCGCCGTTATTGGCGAACGAACGAGGTATCGACTTGTTTCTAGGTCAATAAATTTATTAAGCGCAACTACGCGTGTTTCTGAATCGTAATGTGCCAGAAATCGCGAAGCTTATTCGGCAGATACCCATCAGCAGATGCTGCTGTAACAGGTGCCTATCTGAGAACCACAAAAAGCTTGCACTTGTTTATACTTCCCGGTTAAAGAGCTCCCCAACCTACGCATAGCACACAGCAGAGCCAGACATATCGTGGTCGTACCTCGTTGGACAACAGACAGCTCTTAGCTCACTCTTCCCGAACCCCCCCCCCCCACCCTCTCTCTCAAACACATCCTCTAATACCGACACGGTGTATTGTCAATCAGCTGCGTCCCCCATTCACATTGCCCAACTGATGTGATAGGTCCACGGTTCAAACTAGACACATCCCGGTGCACAAACTGTGCACACCCGGTGCCGCTAAAACAGCCCAGCGCGCGACAAACACCATGCACTGAAGCTCGCACGAGTCGCCTCAAGGCAGTGGTCAGAACGACCTGACCAAAGTGTCGCCAGGTAGCGGGGTAGTTTTCGCCCTTTTGTGCCCGTCGAGGCGATGTGAAAACTCATGAGCTGTCACCTGTCCAGGAGTGGCTCTGAAGGGCCACGATCAGGTGTAGACCTAGTTGGACTAATTGTCGTGCAGACATAACCCCGCAGTAGCTGGTGTGTGGATGGATCTTATGCTGATCCAACACGCACTGTATGCATATGTACACATGGACAAATGAACAGGCAGCAGATATCCAGGCGTTCGCATGGGTGATTCCACATGAACACATCTGCACAGACCCTCAGGCAGTTAATATTACCCACCGGACACGACCAGGAGCCAAATCGCGACGAAAAACTGATCCAGCGTCGGTACCCCTGGCGGTCATTTGTACAAGCGCTACCTCGTCAGCCGGCCGGTAGATGTCTCTCACTTGACTCGTTTCTGCTGTCGCTGCCGGTAGATGTCGTTGACGGGCGGCGCCTGGGCGTCTTCCTCGTCGGAGTCGTTGTTGCGCTTCTTGGCGCGGCTGGGCGCGTCGCGTTCGACGATCCAGTGGACTGACTTGGCCATCTCGAACTGGGAGCCGCTGTGACCGTTGGTCGCCCCGGGCTCCGGCGCTGCAGGTGGGCGCAGAGGGAGGACACAGTCAATCCGGTGAAACAGCAGGACAAATACCAGGAACACCGTGAGTTCGCACTTCGCCCCCCCCCCCACCTCCGCTCCGTCGTTTCCATCCTCAGGATACTGAAATCCTTCTCCTCCACACAGCAACCCCCCTCCGGGCTGGACAGGCAACTTTATCTCATGCGGGCTGCTCCCTTGGAGCGGCACCGCTGCTCCCGAGGGAGCGCACCCCGTAGCCGGGTGCAGGGAATGCTTGGGGGGCTGGTCGGCCTGTCCTTCGGGATGGGCTCAGTCCCGGTGACTCACTGGGGTGCCTGCCCAGACCAATTTCTCCCTCTAATTCCTATCATCCTTCCGGCTCTGCAATGGTCTCTTTAGACTGAAAGAGCCTACCCCCCCCCCCCCCCTAAAAAAGAGGCCTACCGGTCAGCTAGCGCCTGCACTACGCAATATAACCAGCGGTGATTGAGATGCAATAACAGTGGTCGCATGACCACATGTCCTGGCGATGCTAGCCCAATACTGTCATTCGTCCTCGACTCTCAGCTGCGACCCATGACAGCGTCTACCTCAGGAAACAACGACGGCTGCCTCCGCTGTATAGATCGAGATGTAAAATTCCAACGCCGTTCTTCACGCCACGGATATAAATAAGCAAAAAAAGGTTAGGAGTGAGTGCTATCCTACCGGAACATTAACAGCGCTTATCGTCTCATAAACCATAATTCTATGACGTTCCTACCAGACCCACCTTTGTCGGGCAGCTCCATCTTCTCAAAGATGGCCAGCAGGGCGTCCACACCCACGAAAGGTCCGTGGAAGGAGCGAGGCGGCGGCATCATCTGGCACAGAGAGTAGGCGGCCGGCGGCAGCGGGAACCCGCCGCCTGGAGAGGGAGGACGGTCAAATACGGGCCATCAATCATGGGAACTACGTCCTGACTAGCATACAAAACGAACTATCAGTAATCCTGAGGAGCATCCGTCCTGTAGGCCCTTTAGGTCTTCAGGCAGAGATCGACCAGCGGGTGGTAACAGGCTAATGAGAGTGCCCTGAATATTGCGTTTGTGCTATGCTCACAAGTGGACAAGAACAAGCCAAGAAAGGTGGTTTGACTACATCAGAGTCAAGCCGCAACTTCGCTGTGCGTGCTACGGAATGTCCACATTACATTGGCAGTTTTCCTTTTGTTTGCATTTCGCTTCCGTTGCAACACACTTACCGGGTATGGGGTGCTCTCCGGGCACCCAGTACTGTTTGGGCTTGTAGGGCACCATCTGGGAGAAGTCGGGCCGCGGCAGTTGCTTCTCCTCGCCGCCAGGGGCGCTGTCGGCGGCGGCTACGGGCCCGACGGCGGTGACGCCGCTGGTAGCCGTCTGCTGAGGCTGGTAGCCGATCGCCCTGTGGGGTTGATATAGGGGTTCACAGGTCAGAGGAGGATAAGAGTCAGAAACACAAAATGTTTGAAACACACCTCTGTTGACCTCAGGCTGAGGTCAACAGAGGTCAACTGTGGGTCAGGTCAACTGAGGTGAGATGAGGTCAGGAGGGATCAGCTGAGGTCATCAGAGGTCAATAGAGATCGGCAGGGTTCCGTGGATGTCATCAGGGGTCAGCTGAGCTCAGTGAGGATTCGAGAAGCTGGATGGTCATCGAGAGATCAGCTATCGTTGTCAGGAAAGGGCATCAAAAATAAGACAAGTACAGTAATAAGCACAGGACCGTATGAATGCGAAAACACTAATCCAAATAAAAAATCCCATGCATTCAAAGCAATTAAGGTAGACTGACCTGAGCTCCTGTCGGCTGCAGGGGAACAGGTCCAGAAACCGGTACCGGTCAACCAGCAGGGCAGTGTCCTTCCCCTCAAACTCCCGGACCTGCAGGTACGCGACACGGGACAGGAGAGTCAATACAGGGAGCAAGTAGGGACAGCGAAAACCGAACTGCTACTGGACGTTACACATAGCGAACTTATGTAGACCGAACGATCGGCGTCAATGCAACAATGACACGCATTGACAAATCACAGTGTCAATACACTAGGTTTGGCTGCCAGCATCTCACCTCTTGGTGCCATCACACAACACATATCCTGCGCCTCAATTTACACCCTGACACGGAACATAACTACACAATCGCTACATAAGATCGGTCTACCGGTGTTACAGCATACAGCAGCAATATACAGCATACCATATCTCTCCGCTGAGCCACCCTTCCCATCTTCTCCTACGGTTTACCTCGTTGAGAATGGCGCTGCGCCTCTTCTCCACCTTGACGATGCTGCTGAGGTCGCCGATGTTGCACTCAAACTCCAAAAACCGGTTCCATACCTCCCTGAGATAAAGAAGAACAGTCAGCGACACAATAAAAAGAGGTGCATGAGACAAGTAGGCAATTCAAAACATGATATTGCGTGCTCGACACCATGGATTTCAGCTTAAGCATTTTTCAGCTATGGATTTCAGCTACTCATCTCTACTCAGCTACGGTTTTCAAAGACAGACTAACAATGCGTATAACTCAATTACGAGATTCGTCTGTACTTACACTGAGCTGACCTCGTCCAGCATTCCTGAGCTGAGCACTCGTTCAAAGAGCACCCGGGTGTTGTTGTCCTCTGAAAACAGACACGGACATGGATGAGGGTCAAAATGGGATAACGCGTGTGCCGCGTGGGATTCGTAAAGTGGGATTCACGGGACATCATATATAAAAAATATTAGAAATGTGAGTTGAAATCGAACACAGTACGATCAATGCAATTAATTAACATTGCTGTATTCAAGATCAAAATCAACCTATAACACAATCATATTAAAACTAGCATAGTTCTGTCGAGATCACTGGGCTCAGTTTCAAGCTATTTGGTAAGGCCTACTTCCTCAGTGACCTAGACCGCAGTTCCCTCCTCTCTCCACAATCGTTCCACGTACCGTTCAGGTGGGACAGGTAGTCGATGTAGCTGAGGATGTACTGCGTGTTGTCACCAAACTTCTTCAGACCGAGCTCAAACACCTTGAACGCCACCTCCTTGTTCTTGCTGCAGTAGTACTCCATGAGAGCTGCGGCCACAAACACGTGGTGCCGACTGCGCTTGTCCTCGCGCGCCTTTTTGAACACTTTGCGCGCCGACTGGATGCCCTCGGCGCGCCGCGCGAACTTCATGTACTGGATGTATCCCTGGTGGGTGGAGACCGGGTGGGGTTACACTACAGCGACAGGCGAAATACTCCCTACCTAGTTACGGCTCAGGTGCAGTACCCGGTGGATGGGACATGGCAGAGACGGTGAGTGCCGTACCAGCTTTGGCGCTACCAAGCGTACATTCTGACATGAAAGAAAGTCATGAAAAACCTGGCATGAAAAGTTCGTTTCATATCTTTTCTGTGTGAAGGTTAGTTACAGTAGCAAAAAAAACTTGGTCTATGTATTGGCATTAGCATGTCACAGAAATATTGCACGCTCCATCTCATAAACCACAGCTCGCAGCCCTCTAAAACATTGTACCCAGTTACTCTCAGAACGACAGCTGCCATGACGTCTCCGTCAATTAAAGCACGACGGTCAGCCTCTTCTCGACATCTTCCGTGGTCCCTCCAGCCGTCACCACCGACTCACCAGTGTCGGATCAATGTCCTGCACCTCCACCAGCCCGCTGTAGATCTTGTGCACCTTCTCGTTGTTCATGCGCGTCTCCTCAAAGTCTGCATGTGCGAAGTAGATGAGCATGCAGCCGCGCATCGGGCCCTGAGTGGCCCGCTCGAACACCGAGGCGATCTCATCCGTGGTAGCTTTGGCGGCCGTCACATCCTGGAGAGCGAGTCAGCGGGGTCAGACGGTCGCCGGTGGTGGTAAAACGAGGTCAAATTGGGACAGGTGAGCTAAAACAGAGACCAAGATGGGTAACTGGTAACTGTGGTCCGTATTCGCGTCTCAAGATTGAATTCGATGTAGAAAAGTTAAAAATGCTATGATCCATGCGTGAAACTGGGCCAGAGGAATTACGCTAAAGAAGTGCAAGTACATTACCGAGAAGCCAAAAGAAATTCATCACGAATCAGGATGAAGACACATGACACCTTGGTAAGAAGTTTTTCTTATGCTCGCAGTATCATATGGAGCTAAGGTAAACACATATTTCCGGACATATCTTTTTCCACCGTACCCCTTTCCAACTCCAACTCCTTTCTCGTCCCTACTCCCGCACCTCTCCCATCCCTACTCACCCCCTTTTCGGTCATGACCTGCGCGGCCTCCTGCAGGAAGACGGCGTACTCGTACCACACGTCCGGGTGGTGGCCCAGACAGAGCAGACACTGCTCGAAGGCGAACGTCACCCGCCGGGTCCACAGCGACATGTCCTCCGTGCGCAGAGGGTTACTCTTCTCCCAGGCGATGTACTTCTTCCAGGCCGACATCTGTGAGCGGAGGGAGAGGTGGAAATGTGTGAAATGCGGCATATGACGGGTAAGCGAGTTTCTCGTGTTCTTTTTACCTACATGCATCTGAGTTATCACTCACCAGTCTGTCATAGCAAAGTGCGTGTCTTGTTGGCGTTGATGTTGTAGAATATGTGTATATGGAAGAGTGTGATGACTGGATTACTCGGGATCGTTCACCGAATTTCCATGTTAATGCTATGAAGATATAAGTGCTATACCACGAGGCATAAGCTCAAAAAAGTATCGAGAGAACAATCTACTCCGACAAATGAAAATTTCAATTCCGGTCGGGATCAGAAGGCACGAATAAAGTTACATACCTACAGCCCGATCGTTCGTTAATACATACATACTTGAAAAAAAACATACCTACAGCCCTGTTGGGGAGGGGGAGCCATGGGATCCATCATCCGAATCCGTCAGTCTCACAAGACGCGAAATCATCACTCTTATTCCAATTTCCAATAGTGTTATCTCAACGTTGGCCAGAGGCCGACGGGCTGACAGGCAGCTAACCGTTTGCAGTGAATACCAGACTAGCGGTGGCAGCTCTGCGCTGAATGCCCACAATCAGCTGACCACGCCTCCTCGCAGCACAGCCGACGAAGGCCACGGGCGCGACGTAAACTTTGAGGGGGACGACGGGAGGCACGCGTTCGTTGACGTTCGCGTTTTTGGCGACCTGAGTGGATCATTAGCAAGTGCGGATTTCGGGGAAGATCGCCATTTCAGCTGGAAGGTGAGACTTCGACAGAGCTCCGTCCTAGCCGAGGCAGGGCGCGGGTCGGACCCTTGTTACCGGGACCTTGCGTAAATGTGCAGACCCTCGTTACCCTTGCACCGGTCTGACTGTGACAGACTAAAAAAAAAAAAACGATTAACGTTACTTGATGCAATAGTGGCCGTCGATGTCTTCCTTTTTTCTTGCATGCGTGGAGTAGCTAATGCTTCAAAGCGATTGTATATGCCCTGATGCTTACGTAGTCTGTTTATAAATGATAATAGAGTAACAATGAACACCTTATATTTTATTATATATTCACACCGACACGACATAACTCATGATCATTCGTTTGTGTGCATGTCTGCAATATCAGCCACCCTATTCCTTCACTTTGGAGATGATGAGATAGGCCAATATCCGGGGACTTAACCTTGGGTTTCTGGTGAAACGGTAAACTACCTTGCCTCTATGCCCCATCGCTCACAAACTTCTGATTCTCAATGCTATGCCCAATGAATCCACCCAAATCATTCCTATTTTTCCCGACAGATGGCAGTCTGCTCCTCCACTGACTGTTTCCCCTTTCTCCCGGCAGATGTCAGGCGCGGCGATCGACCTGTACCACACACTCTGGAGCCCGCCGTCTCGAGCCGTGAGGATGATCGGACGGGCCGTCGGGGCCCAGTTCAACCTCATCGAGTGTAACCTCATGGCCGGCGAGCATATGAAGCCAGAGTATCTCAAGGTGAGGATGATGATTCAGAACATGTGATAAAAGCGCTGAGTTTAGCCTGAGGCACGCATAGGCTGTATATTTGTTCACGCTTTTGCTGTCAACACCGAGCAATTAACTAAAAAGGTCCCCATTCGCAAACTTCTGAATGTCGACTTGTTTCACTGTGTCCTTCAATGATTATAATTGCGTACTGCGTGTTGTTGTTGTTGTTGTTTTTTTTGAACAGCACGAAACTTTCCTCAGCTCAACCAGTTTTTTTTCCGTTTCAGATGAACCCTCTACACACTGTGCCGACCATCAACGACAACGGCTTCTATGTATGGGAGAGGTAACTACAGTGTGGCCAAATTGGTTTAGCGTTAGGGGGAGGATGTATAAAAAAGTCGTACGAGGATGTCACTAATTTAAAAAAAACTCGTCTTCAGTGTCATTTTAGGTGCAGTTTTTACAAGTTATGTGGAAAAACTATACCTGACGTCAAGCTCTGGTGGAAAGTAAAAAAAAATCAAATATTGTCATCAAAGATGTAAAAAGAAAAACATTGCAACAGTACGAGTATGACGATGCGAATCGTACATTGGAACATTTTTAGTCTTTATTCCTACACTAGGTATGCTTTCACAACAAAAGCTTTCACAACAAAAACGTTGTGATGATGTAATTTTGAAATTTCTGAGGATGTCATTATACTTTTCATTGGGGGTGACTTTCCCCGCAACATCACCAATTTGGCCACACTGGGTAACTATTAAACTACGGAGGAAAACCGAAAATATGGTGACGCTAAATTGAACTGAATGACTTGATAACGTGGCAGCACTTAACTTAGCTATTATATCAATATCCTTTTCCTGGTTTCCACTGTCTGTTTAGTTCCGGCCGCAAGTTTAGACGGCCAACGGCAGTCGCACTCATTGCCCAGTCATTGCCCTTCTCATACCAACTTGAACCCACAGCACACCTGGCTCCAGCCCACTCATTTGTTTAAGTTCTGTAACTGGGCCAACCGCTAGGTATATCCTCAGCGGACCCAGTTCTAATTGGAACTTGGAACGACTTGCCCTCTGCTCCAAAAGTTATGGTATAGAGCGGCCAACTTGTGCGGAAGCTCACCTAGGGATTATCTGACTTTTCACTTCAGGTTCTTTACGGCTTTATCGATTCATCGCATGTACTGGTCATTCGCCAGCGCCTCTCTCTGTCTCTGTCTCTGTCTCTGTCTCTGTCTCTGTCTCTGTCTCTGTCTCTGTCTCTCTCTCTCTCTCTCTCTCTCTCTCTCTCTCTCTCTCTCTCTCTCTCTCTCTCTCTCTCTCTCTCTCTCTCACTCTCTCTCACTCTCTCTCTCTCTCTCTCTCTCTCTCTCTCTCTCTCGCTCTCTCGCTCTCTCGCTCTCTCTCTATCTCTCTCGCTCTCTCGCTCTCTCTATCTCTCTCGCTCTCTCGCTCTCTCTATCTCTCTCGCTCTCTCTATCTCTCTCGCTCTCTCTATCTCTCTCGCTCTCTCTATCTCTCTCGCTCTCTATCTCTCTCTCTCGCTCTCTCTCGCTCTCTCTCGCTCTCTCTCGCTCTCTCGCTCTCTGTCTTTCTCTCTCCGCTCTCGCTCTCGCTTTCGCTCTCTCTCTCGCTCTCTCTCTCTCTCTCTCTCGATTTCGCTCTCTCTCGCTCTCTCTCTCTCTCTCTCGCTCTCTCTATCTCTCTCTCTCGCTCTCTCTCTCTATCTCTCTCGCTCTCTCTCTCTCTCTCTCTCTCTCTCTCTCTCTCTCTCTCTCTCTCTCTCTTTCTCTCGCTCTCTGTCTTTCTCTCTCCGCTCTCCGCTCTCCGCTCTCGGGTACTTACATGACCCATCAGCAGAAAGTTCCTGCCGCCCTCACCACTTTGTCCCGCCCCTATCCTATTTCCCCTGTTTCTCACGATTGAAGACATGGCTAGTCTTCACTATGCGCTGTGGCATATTTCCCGAGAGCTGACTCATTTACTTCCTGCGGCACTGTTTGATTCTTCTTTCGTCTGGACCCACTGAGTTGTAGTCACGATCACCGTTCCTGTCTCGTGTTTGGTTCCAGCCGGGCGATCGGCCATTACCTGATCAACAAGTTCGCTCCTGGCACCAGTCTAATACCCACCGACCTAAGGAGGAGGGCCCTCTATGATCAGATGCTCTTCTTCGATTACTCGCTACTCTTCAGCTTCTCTACAATGGTGGGTGGTTATGCAAGATATCGTGAGACACGTAAAGGTTAGAGTCCCCAACGTCATCTAAGAGAGAGGCATTGTCTGAGCTGACATACGAGTAAGAAGCCGACATAGCGACAGACACGGTTGGCGAAATTGTAATTTCATTATCAATTCTAATTTCTATTCTAATTTTATCATAATTGTCAATGTAATTACATAGAGAATCCCGGAAAGTGTAAGTCAACGTAGGCAATGTCAATAGGCCCAAACCACCCATTCATCCATTCTGACTAAACGTAGAACATGACGCTTCCTCCCTGCCCTACCCATACTGCCGATATTCCCAGACGCGCAAGGTTCTGCTCGGAGCTAAGCAGCTGGACCGGTCTGACGTCAAGAGGTGCCACGAGTGCCTGCGCCTGCTGAACTCCTTCCTGAGTGAGAGCGAGTACCTGGTCGGAGACGAGATCACCATGGTGGACTACTCGGCAGCTGCCAGCATCGCCGGCTGCCAGGTCAGGGGTCAGGGGTCAGGTCATGGGTCAGGTCAGGGGTCAGGACAGGGGTCAGGACAGATCAGGATTCGGGACAGGTCAGGGCCCGGGGGATCAGGCAGGGGCCAGGGGTAAGGACAGGGTCCCAAGACAGGTCATATGTATGATCGGCACAGAACGCGCGGTTTCATCTAAGTATTATCGAAAGACTGCTAAAGATGGAAAAGGCCAGAGAGATGATAGTTGTTTTACCTACTGGATTATCATGCCAAGATATGAATAATGCAAGTTTTATTGTTACGTGTTTATAAAGTATACAGACATGCATCTCTTCACGGTCGCACGGGTGTGTCCGATTCATCGGGTCAAGATCGATGATGGCATGTTGCAACAGCCCACACCATCCGATGTCATTGTGCGCTGATCTGTTAAACCATTCCCCTTTTCTCTGCCGGCAGACGGGTATGTTCGGCATCTCGGGCCACCCGCACACACAACGGTGGTTCAACAAAGTCCGGAACGAAATCGACGGATTCGACGAGATTAACGAGCCCGGTGTACAGATGATCCAGGCCTTCATGTCAATGGCGACGCCGCCAGACCCCAAACCATCGAAACTGTAACGAGGTGTGACGTAACTGGAGGACAAGCTAGGCGAGTGACGTCATCGGTGGACAGACAGCTAGATGTGACACCGCCAGACGAAAGTCAATGGATATTGTGGCCTTGTATGACGTCATTGGAGGAAATGACAGGCTAAAAGTGACATTACTAGACGGTAGCGAATGGATATTGTTTTCAGGTGTGACGATATGATAAAAGTTTGGTCATGTGTGGTCAGTGGATGCGCTCCCGTCTTTTAAGGATTCGCTGGCACTGTCGCACGGATGAGCGGATGAAGTAATAGTGTCTCGGATATCAAAATAAGTGGGACTGACTTTGCCCATGGAAGTGTTGTTACGTTGGAGTGGACGTATGATGTTATTAATGGTGTGAAGTGCTTGAGCGAGGAACATAGCGAGAATAGATACGTGAAGAATCATTGACCTTTTCCTCGAAAATGTAAAAACAATGCCAAAAGTTATATTGAATGCGGTGAGCTTTCGGCTACAAGCCTTCGTCAAACCAACAAAATGACACAATACAAGATTCAAAATTCATGTCAACATGCAACACTCTAGAACTGAATTTTTTAAACTGCCATTGTCGATACTCGTGCCTGTTTATGGAACAAACCTATCACTCCGCTAAAATCCAAGTAGACATAATGGTATGCAACAACATGTGATAAAGATAGTGATGCACCAAACACATGATCTCAGAAGTCACATATCGACTACCAGGCGACGGGGACCGTCGGCATACAATCACATGATAGGCCATACAATCACATCAGATTGATTGATAGGCCGTACAAACACACGGATACCTAGGCATACAATCACATGATAGGCCAAGAAGACAGGTTATAGTTTATCTTTGGTCGGTTTCTTCGGATCAGTATGGACTCAGCTATCTTACGGTCGGGATGGTCTTTAGCCTTATACAGAATTTTAACACCGAGAGGAATGTGGGGAACATCGGTTGTAGCGTGGCACATCATGAAATGGTCGCCCATCGGCGTCCCCTCAGATCTATTTACAGCATCACGTACATGCTCATTAAATCGCAAACGAACGGGGCGTTTCGTTTCTCCAATATACATACTCGGCTCCCCTCCCTCATCACAAAATTGAAACTGAACTTTTCATCAAGCCAACGAACTCAGGGATTATCCTCCATTACAAATCGGCCCACCCAACAGCGACCAAGCACAACATTGCCAGAAATCAGTTCCGCCGTGCGATGAGGAATTCTTCTAACAAGGAAAAGGAGAAGATTAGCATAGATAAGATTTGGGGACTTCTAGTTAAGAACGGGTATCCAAAGAGAATTCTCCAAAGGCTGTTAGAGGAGGTCAGGCGGGGAGAGAGACAAAAACGTGCTGATCGCATAAGTCAAAAGAAATGCAAGGACGGTTTCTTGTCTCTGCCATACGTTGATGAGGAGCTTGTATGCAAAATTCAGAGTAAGGTAAGGAAATCCGGCTTCAACCTTAGACTAGCATGGAAGAACCCCCAAAAAACTTAAAAACATGCTGATCAGATCGTCACTTTCAAAACCTCAGTGTCCGGGGGGACGGAGATGCAACACGTGCTCGTCAGGATTTACAGGGGATTGTACTCAAACGAATGTTGTTTATTGTTTAAATTGTAAGCTATGTGATGAGGGAGGGGAGCCGAGTATGTATATTGGAGAAACGAAACGCCCCGTTCGTTTGCGATTTAATGAGCATGTACGTGATGCTGTAAATAGATCTGAGGGGACGCCGATGGGCGACCATTTCATGATGTGCCACGCTACAACCGATGTTCCCCACATTCCTCTCGGTGTTAAAATTCTGTATAAGGCTAAAGACCATCCCGACCGTAAGATAGCTGAGTCCATACTGATCCGAAGAAACCGACCAAAGATAAACTATAACCTGTCTTCTTGGCCTATCATGTGATTGTATGCCTAGGTATCCGTGTGTTTGTACGGCCTATCAATCAATCTGATGTGATTGTATGGCCTATCATGTGATTGTATGCCGACGGTCCCCGTCGCCTGGTAGTCGATATGTGACTTCTGAGATCATGTGTTTGGTGCATCACTATCTTTATCACATGTTGTTGCATACCATTATGTCTACTTGGATTTTAGCGGAGTGATAGGTTTGTTCCATAAACAGGCACGAGTATCGACAATGGCAGTTTAAAAAATTCAGTTCTAGAGTGTTGCATGTTGACATGAATTTTGAATCTTGTATTGTGTCATTTTGTTGGTTTGACGAAGGCTTGTAGCCGAAAGCTCACCGCATTCAATATAACTTTTGGCATTGTTTTTACATTTTCGAGGAAAAGGTCAATGATTCTTCACGTATCTATTGACGTATGATGTTGCTCGAGTGAGCTGGCAACCAGTGAACTCAAAGAGCTGTACACAGAAACAATGCAATTTTAAATACAAGATCAAAACGATGCTTCATCTCGTTGCAGTATTTCATTCAAGCCAATCAAAGTACGTCCTCACCTGTTTGTTTCTTTGTTTGTTTTTTGTTGGGTTAGGCCCTTTCGGTCCAATTAGACCATTTCAGAGCCGGAAGGATGATATGAATTAGGGGGGCAGGCACCCTAGTGAGTCACCGGGGCTGAGCCCATCCCGAAGGACAGGCCGACCAGCCCCAAGGTACTCACTGGCCACTGCACCCGGCTACGGGGTGCGCTCCCTCGGGAGCAGCGGTGCCGCTCCAAGGGAGCAGACCGCTGCCCGCATGAGATAACCCTCGCCCGTAAACGGTGTTTTGCCACCTTCGCCCATGCAGAGGGGGGGGGGGGGTTGGTGCGACCCCCCCCCCCTGGCGTTTGAAAACGGAGCGTCGTAGAGCTTAGCGGAAAAGACCAACGGATTGCTCTCAACGAGATCTCGCGATTGGTGGTATATTTTTTGGTCCTAGGTCAACATTTGACCTACTTATGACCGGTCAAAGGTCAAATTTTCGGAAAAATCTAATTTTTTCAGATTTCCGCGCCGATTGCGGCAAAACGGTAAGAGATATCGACTTGAAACCTTCACTATCGTGATCCTTGATCAATTCTCTATCGTTTGGTGTGTATTTCGATGTCATAACTCTAAAAATGATGCGTTGGGAGCATCGGAAGTCTGCAAGGTCATTTGTGCATTGGGTCACGTCAGGCGTGTGACGTCACTGACCTGACCCTGACCCAAAATGAACTACAAGAAACAACTGACGATGCCTGAAATGGATAGCAAATTCGAATTCAGGGCATCAAAATACCCCGAAAAGGCATACAAGTGCAAGAAGTCATTACAGGTCAACCGAGGTCACTGACCTGACCTTGACTTTTAGTAGCCTTGAAAAGGTCAACGGACATTGTGCCAATGTCAAATCAGCCAGTTATGATTCTAAAACAATCCATCAGTGTGTCAGGTCAGTCGGCATTTATACCATTGTGAAGCAATCTCCAATTTAGCGCAGATCTGGCCGGAGGTTGTTCCCTTTATGACGTCATAACTCCGTGACCTGACATGACCTTGACAATTTTGTTTTACCAAAAGTTGCGCAAAGGATGCCCCAAAGGGTACTGAAAATTTGAGCAGGCTATCTGAAACGGTTCGGCGTGTAGCTAAGAAAAACCTCGGGGGGGGGGGGGGGGTTGCACCACCCCCCCCCCCCTACATGGGCGAGGGATAAAGTTGCCTGTCCAGCCCGGAGGGGGGTTGCTGCGTGGAGGAGAAGGATTTCCGTATCCTGAGGATAGAATCATGGAACGGTGTTGGCCTCACCTGTTTTTGTTCCTCGGGGTTGCCGGTGGGCGGTATGCTCGGGTAGTTTCGGTTAATGGCCCGAATCTCGTTCTCCATCTCTCGCGCCACGCGCTTGGCGTTCACGTGTTCCCGGGTGTGTTCCATGGCCATTTTCTCGGCGATGATGGGGTTGATGCTGTTCTCGAAGATCATGTAGTCCTTCCACAGGATCTCGACGTTGTTCATCGGTGTCAGCACGCCGCGCTGGAACACCTGGTGGTACGAATACGAACGAGAGGTTTGTAAAACGGTCAGCAGGTGTCAGCCCCTTGTCTGTGTGCCGATAAAGTAAATAAATAAATAGCATAATGTGAAAGAAACCGAAGTACAAATAAAGTGACGAGAGTAGCTGGGGAGGCCCGACATCATTGCGCTCCGGGCACGTCCCATTGTCTCTTCGGGCCTATGCATCTTGAACTAAGACGCCTCAGAAAATAAAAAAGCAGGCAATGTAGGAAACAGAACGAGTGTTTCGGATTATGCCATGCGAGCAAGACGGCAAGCGATTGCTTAACCCGACTAGTGTAGAGAGAAATATGAGCTCAGGGTAAATACAGCTCCTAACCCTTTGAGTATTTCCAAATGGTGAACCAAACGCCTTGTGAATAATAAAACACTGTGTGCGGCCTAGAAGATAAATGTTTGAGATAAAATGTGACACAAACATCCTAATGCTCCGCTTCCGACTGATATTAATGATCAAGGGCAATTAATGATGCGAGTCTGTTATCAAAACACTACGTTTGTACCCTATGTCCTTCTGAGTCGGCCAAACTGTAGCGCTAGGAGGCGATCGGTGTCAGCAATAGAGAAAACGCGTCATTCTGGCTGTAGTACAGTCTGGATACTGAGACCTCGCCACCTCTAGCAGTCTTCTCACGTAGTACGTGACACCGAAAAACGTATGATTCTCCCGGATACCCTTCGACCTTCCAATAAGCACCATTCGAAATGTCAGCGGTCGCAGGGTGGCGCCGACAGGTTCAGGGGCGACTCCGACCCAACGGCCGGCCCGGAGCGGGTCACCCTCATCGGCAGAGAGATATTCGGCAATTCTCCGGCGGGTCGCCGATCCATATTGAGATTACCGTCATAAAATCTCCACGCCCCGTGGGCCTGAGATCATTTTGCACGGCTCGGACCCCGATAACCCAGGTGGAAGTGTCACGGGGGTACCCCGGTGACCCGGCGCGGGCTCGGAGCTGTCGCCGGACCGGTGCTCTGTATGCCGCCCGGGGTCACGGGGCCGGGCTACCAATTAGTCGGGCGAGGCATCGGGACAGATTGTACGGCGGCGATAGGAATGAAACGGAGGTCGTGATGTGCCCGTGCGAATGCCGAATAGCAATGGACTTTCGAAGCTCGTTTGTCTTCCATTTTTAGCCCAATCTAACAAAGAACCTGAATTAATTAGTTAGAACAGTATTTCTAGGCTATGGTAAAACGAAACAAGTGCATGCAACATGTCTAACGCGTGACACATTATCAAGGTGAGGGAACATTTTAAGAAAAAAAAATCTTCTTCAACTATCCCACGGCAAAAAAAAATACAAAGCTAATAGACAATAGTCAGGGGAAGGAGGCCCAATGTCAGCCCGAGTAACGCAAAATTAACACTATAACACTGTCATGGCCTGTTACCTTTCTGATGGCGGATATTTTCTGGTTTTCGGCGTACGACCCCACGGCGTCGGCCGCCTTCAGAAAGGCCAGGTATTCGTGCCACACGGGGAACGAGTGGTAGTCCATGCCGATCTTGTCCAGAGCAAAGTCGTACGCCTGCGCCATTTTCTCCCTGTGAAAATAGACGGGGAAGAGGGGGTGTTTAGGTGATTGGACGGCAGGGGGTTCAGCTATGTAAGCCATCTGACACCGCCTTTTATGAGTGTTGAGCATAAAAGCCCGGAAACACAAGCGAGGAAACGCTGCAATCCAGTTTGTAATTCTTTCCGCAAAATCTAAAAACGGCAGGTGAAAAAATGAAAGTAAAGCAAAACGGCATTACCAAAAAGTAAAGTTTTTGGTAGTTCAGCTGACATTTAGGTAACAAATAGTTTGCGGTAACGGACTTTTAGATTAATAACGGGAAAAGAGCACCAAGACGGAAACGAAAGGTTTAAAATAAAATTTCCCAAAGCAAGAATGAAATTATACATGGCACCCAATTTCGAAGCAGCAAAAATGTATGCGCATTTCGGGCGAGTTCTGATAGCTCGTTTCCTTACTGGGTCACGTAGGGTGACAACCAATCAAAATGCAATAAGGCGTACCCTGCGCCTGTCACCATCGATTCCAGCCGAGTCACGATGTCCTGTGAGCGATCTAGCCCACATGAGCGAGGGGAGAGCGAGGGGATCAATTCATAGTTAGAGCTGCTCTCTCGCTCCCCGTTGGACGCCTCTGACTGGACGCGCAGTGACCAGGAGGGTGCGAGCGGGAGGGAGAGGGGCTGAAAGGGAGGATGGGAGAGTGGAGAGAAGGGACGGAGACACACATATAGGAGAGTGATGATACTGACAGAAAGGCAGAAGATGGATGGAGAGGATGAGCGGGTGGCGGATGGGGCGACGACAGCACTGCCCAAATGTAGCTGGGCGCTTGTTACAAGGACCGCGCTGTATCCACTAGAGCCAATAGACTCTTAAACGCACTTTGGCAAAGTTTTCTATAAGACCAAGGCTCGTTCATCAGCAACAGGCACAGAACCCGGGTAGCAAACTAGCGACGGAGAATTAATATGGGGAATATTTCAGTGGATAATTAAATAACCGGAACCCAACTGACGGGCGACCGTCCATCGCTCATGGAACATGAATTAGATGGCGGTCTCAAACGTAATTTGATTTTAAATGAACCGATCCAGCTCAGATGGCTTGATGGCCTGGAATGAGGACGGATATGAGATTCCTGTCCCTTCTGACCAAAGTCATCTCAGTCGTTTTTACTGTTGTGCTCTCATGGATGACGTAGTGATGGATGTCGAACTACAAATATCAGCAGACATAATGGGGCACATTTATAACCGACAAAATAAACACTGCCTTAGATCATACATCTCTTTTAAATGTTGTGAACAACAGCAAACATCAAATATTGGTTCTGTTTGCAGCATTATTTGACAATGCATGAATGTGAGTGAAAGGGGAGGGTCTTTGCCAGTTTAGTCTTCAGAAAACCTTTCTATTGCGCCGTCCTTGTAAACTTATTAGTTCTCAATCTATTTACAAGACATATGGGAGCATGTGGATAATAGTAAATAAGCATTACTCAAAACGGAAACCCCTGACGGGGTATTAATCAATCCTACTTCATTTTAAAATAACGAACTGAGACTGATTCACTTCTACCACTGACCCCGAGAATTTGTAACGAGTGCGGATCTGTAAGCGTCGTCCACTTTTCCTCTCTGTAGCTCAGAACACAGTTCTTCAGACCTTCTGTTCTTTTTTCCGGCCATAAGCCATTCAGTAAATCATCCGAGACCTCATTCAGACACTCTGATGCCAGTCATAAATTCACACCAGCCACTGGCTACAGTTATAAAATCACGCCAACCATTGACAACGCGACCGCTCTACACTGGCCCAATGGCCAATGCGATCCATTGAATGCGTTCCATGCCGTGATCAGACAAATCACTCATACGACATTCAATGCCTTTGTGCACGATAAAGCGTTCCCTTTCCCAGAAGTGTCTGATCAATGGGAACTTCTGCATCAAACATTCAGGCGGTATTCAAAATGACCCGTCTGACCTCATGGAAGAGCAAATATCGCGGTCCAAGCCAGCTGAGCAAAATGTTCAACACAGAAAGCCAAATTTCAATGGTATCCCAGTCACCATTGATTCTGCGAATCTGTATAATATGACTGTCTGTGGCAACTATGCACAAAAAAGTTTTGCACACACCTGACCAGTGCAGTGACCATGTCCTAGCACAACTCGTAATCAATTCGACCACTAGCACCGACGGCCCCGGTTGCGCCAGACACTAACGGCGACGGCGACGAAAACTTCAATTTAGTAAATGCCTTTCCCAACCCAGCCGGTGCCGTGGGGCGCATCCATACACACACACGGGTCCCGCATTCCCTCCCAGAGGGCGTGGCACTACAACTCATAAACGCCTGCGACGTATGATGAACCGCCGCCGCTGCCGTCATCGCCATCGACGCCGCGACGACTTTGGAGGAGTTATGAAGCTGATTGGGTCCGGACTGTCGCAGTTCGCCGCGACTAGGCTCACCCCAGCCACACATGGAATGCGGGCCCGGTCGCGCCGCGGCCGCTCCCATGAGCCAAGTTCGACAGGAGTCTGGGGACATTACGAAACTGGACTTCAACTATTGCGAGCCCGAGCGGGTCGCGTCAGACCCGACCGCAGCGCCAGCCGTCATTAATAACGATATTGCTAGAGTTCGCCGGTTACGCCGACCGAAATGTCCACAGAGGGCATTGAACCACGACTGTGAGAAGGCATTGGATGACTTGCTGACATCTGCTGGCAAGTTGAAAACTTCGTAGCAATACGGCTGTCAGCATGCGTCAAAAAGGGTGAAATAGTGGATAAGAGGACGGATTTCCGACAGTGGGTCTCTCGCGTGAACCAAAGAGACATCGATACCATATTCTTTCGTCAGGGCGAAAGTCCCTGCTGACGTCTACGTTAGATCGAATATCGAGATAGCAAACATAAAAACTGCCACACTTGAGACACCTGAGCACCGATCGTATTCAGTTGCGGCCGGATAATTCCGGTTTGTACCAGACAATAGTACGGGTATCGGGCCGGCACTCGCCGCAGAAAAATCACTTTGGCTACCACCCAGTGCGTGATTGTTCGCGTGCCGATGGGGGGAGGGGGAGGGCGGGTGTCATTGTCAGACGGTCACCGTCTTAGTCACGTTCCATTACACCGAATCCCGAGGGACTTCCCGGGAGAGAGAGAGAGGAAGAGAGAGAGAGAGAGAGAGAGAGAGAGAGAGAGAGAGAGAGAGAGAGAGAGAGAGAGAGAGAGAGAGAGAGAGAGAGAGAGAGAGAGAAAGAGAGAGAGAGAATGAAAAATCCAATAATTCAACTAATAATCAGACAAAATAATACATTAGGTATACCTACGCAAAGAAGAAGCATTGCAAGCACGCGAGGCAATTGCCGGTGATTAGGACTAGCTAGCCCAAAATAGACGAAAAACTGATCCGATGATTTGACAGTCCAAACTGAATTTAATCAAATGATTCATGATAAATTCGCATACATAATTTATATAATAGCATGCAGATAATAAATTTAATGTTTCTTTTTTTTGCAGGCAATGGAATTACAAGATCGCGAACTTAAAATAGTAGCTTGCGTCATTAAATGAAGGATCATGATGTTTTCACCATTCGTTCTTATATTTCACATATAAGAGGTAGTTTACTGCTACCATTACGTATCTGATCACGCCGTCATTGGTCGGTCCAACGCTATCGAGTATTACGGAATACTAGGGCTGTTCGCAGCTAAAAAATATGTATGATTGAAAGGAGTATGCTTTCGAGTATGCCGCACAGTGAAAATAAATAGTTCCTCACATTCGGCACTAGCACGAAAGAGTCGAGCCTCAGCCGCGCGGCATCGCACAGCATACATTCGCTGAGCACTCAATAGATGTCGCTAGTAGTCGACGCCCGAAGTTATGCTGTGCCGGCGAACTCGCAGATCGCCGCGCCGCTTTGTAAGGTTCAGTGCAAAGGCCTTTCCTGTATCTTGATAGAGCTGTGCTAATATAAGCGGATTCCGGAAAGTATATAGCCTAAACTGTGATTTAAATAGGATTGTGTGTTAGAGAATAAGGGCATAAAACTCCTCACGGCAGCTGTGCGGCCGAGGCGCTATTTTTGCTCGCTGGTAGGCCTGTCTCGACTCTAAAAAAACTCAAACATCTTTCATCCAAGCGTCTACAAACGCATCATATATTCCACAATCAGGAGTGAGTGCGTGTTCCACCTAGCTAGCACATCACCCATCTAACATAACCGCGAATCCCAAGGACGCGTCCGAGGAACAGTGAGAGGCAATTCCGCCGAATCCGACAGGCCGGCCCTCGGAGAGCTATCTGGTGAAATTGGGACTGACTGTGTCGGCAACAACGAGCACAATGAAGCCGGCAATCTGCGCCGCTGCGGCCCATCCGCCTGAGAACGGACACGGGCGCGTCATGGCTACGTGACAAGAATGCCTATCGTTGGCCTTCCCCGGAGAACGTCATTCAGATGGAACAAAACCTCTACCCGATCACACAGACTCGCTCCGAGAAGGGCCGACTGTCGGGGCTACTGGCGGCAGACAGACGCACCGGCGCGGCTGATTTCGACGCACTAATGCGTCGGGTTCGTCTCATCGCGCCGCATTATGACGCAGTAAGATTCTCCGGACGTCTGGCCTGAATGGGATAGGAAGGGCCCGAGGGGCGACTTCCGACCAGTAAGATGGATGATCGAACGGACAAAAGGCGCGTTTCCTGCGTGAAATATACCACGGCAATACACAGCAACGCGGCATGGAAAGGTGTCGAATCGAGAAGACCATTGGCATGACTCCAGAATCGGAGGGGGAGGGGCGGCTCTCGCTGGATTACAACTACGAGTTAATAATGAATTTTCGGTCATTCACTAGTAATTCCATCAGATATCTCACTATTCAATTATATTAAAAAGAATCTGCGGTCACAGAAATCCACATCCCTAGGACAGTTTGGAGAGCATTGCCGAGGCGAGCAGTAGCAAGTTCCTCGAATCGCTACGGGTATTTGCTTCTAACGGGTATAGCCTGTAGTAAGTGTCTATGGTCACGTTTTCGTCCAATTGAAGTCAGCTATAGAGAACTGGCCGTGTGTAGTTCGAGTACGCCAGCGCGTTCTGGACATGGAGATGGTGGATGTAAAACTGTAGATGGGTTGAGTGCGTACAATAAGGCACGGCATAAAATCTATAAGACAAAAATCTGCAGAACATCCTGTGCGCAGCTAATTACATTGCTTATAATTATGTTGGCCCGCGCATAATTTAACTGACATCTGAATGCAATCATTTTTATAAGGTAGCTTACAGTAATATGAGCAGCAAGAAACGGATATTCTTGCCCATTCAGCTATATCTAATACCAGTAAAACGCCTTTTGGGCGAAGAACGAGCGAGCAAGATAGTGAGCCCTGCACGTGCGGGAAGGTGAGAGGGTACTTCCAACTGGCTTGTGCAAAGCACCCTTCTAACCGGTCGCTAGCGGTGTGCCAAATTTGAACGCAATCGGCCCAGCCGTTCCTGAGATCTGGAAGCGGCATTCTGCACGTGCGCACGTGCAAATGGGGTCCGAAATGACTTTTGCACGGCACCCTACTAACCGGTCCCCAACCGTGTACCAAATTTGAGCGCAATCGGCCCAGCCGTTCTCGAGATCTGGAAACGCCCCCTGCACGTGCGCACGTGCAGTAGCACCCTAACCGCAACACATGGGAATGCATTGCCTGGTGGGTGCCTACCTGTATGCCAAGTTTCAGCGAAATCGCCCCAGTAATTACCGAGTTACTCAAATGGGGATTAATTTGGCACCTCTTCTTTTTGTATTTTGCACGTGCAGTGGGGGTCACTAACATAGATCAAGAGTACCCGACCTTTGGTAGAAGGGATGCAGCTACCCTATAAAAATTACCGCAAGACAATCGCTCAAGCCGCTGCTGAGATATGGGCCTCTCGAAATCACTACTTTTGCAAAACTGCTTGAACACCCTTGACTTTTCACGTGGCACGTGCCACGACGGTCACTGAGATGTATCAAAAGTAGTCAATTACCGGGTAGAAGGGATGGGGCTACCCAGCAAAAAAGACCGCAGGCCAATCGGTCCAGCGGTTGCTGAGATATAAGCCTCTCAAAAGCGTTACAGGCCGGGCCGGGCCGGGCCGCTCATACTCGTACTGAGCTTTTTCCGTTATATTGAAAAGACTTCGCTTCGCTCGCTCGCTCATAATAAGATCCAAGAAACATTTGCGTCATGAATGAAGTGTTCCCAACGAAGCTTGTTCAAAAACTTCAACTAAGCTCGCTAAGAAGTGCCCGCTAATTAACTGCCTTTAAAAAACATTTGAGAAGCAGCCTACGAGATCATTTGATAATTTTTAATGGAAACTTATCGAACACTCACATACATTTAGCTTCTAAATAAGACATAAGCGCGGAGTCCCGCCAAAATGGCTAAGAGCAAATGACATCCCGGGCCTTAATCCTTGTCGTGGCCGGTTGGCGGTTCCCCGGTTCTTTTTAGGTACAGTACAGGTGCTACCACAAAGCGACTGTGAGCCACTGAAACGCAGCTTCCGTGTTGATGTGAATCCAAATCAAACGAAGTAGGCACAGCCCTCGCCTCACAGCGTAGTAGGTACTCGAGGTAGGTACTCTAGTTCAACAAATCCGAGAATAGCCCGGCTTTGTAATCAGTTGATGGGAAATCATAACACAGAGTCACGGTGCTTCACTCTTTTGATAAGGTTTACGATTTAGCAAATTAATCGACCCAATGAGGCAACAAATGTAAGGAAGTGTTTTAGGGCAAATACAAATTTATGTCTTTTGCCGACAAGCTGGGCATTTAAGAATATAATGAATTAAATCATAGATCTATAGCCTTGCGCATCTTGGCATTATGAAATCTCAATGACCGATAGCATGGCCTTCGAACTATGATCTGATTTGTCGAAAAAAACTACCACGCAATAGGACGAACGCTGAACCTACGTGTACCCAAGTTTCAAACAAAACACGAATAATGAGTGTACTCACTTGAAGGAGGGCAGCGTGGCCTTTGTGTCCTTGACGTACGTCAGGTAGAGCTTCCATAGCTCGAGGTTCAGCACCTTGACCAGACATCGTTGGAACAACTGGCGAACAGAGAAACGCAGCGCTGCAGATCGCACACACACACACACGGCTCGGGATGGATTTTATTGACGGCGCACACAACAGATTACAGGCATACGTGAACAAACGTGTGATGTGCTTGTGTAGGTCGTGAAATGAAAAAGTGCTCATTATATTTCACACATGTCTCGTTATCGTGGCGTTTTTATCATGATCATTATCACTCGTCTCGGTATAACAACACAACTTCCGACATGTGCAGTGAATGCACACTTGCAGAAAACGAACACATAGGGTGTTTGTGGTCCTAATGTGTTTTTATTTAACGGTGAGCATCATTGCATGATACGGATAAAGGACGCAAAACACCCAAAGGACCGTCCATATCGTTTGGATCACGCTACGTCACAAATCGAAGCCGGTGGCTTACATCCACTTGCCAAGCGATCACCCCAGTCTCAGTCAGATTGGGACTGATCTAGCAGTTTATCACCAGCCAATTAACAGAACTTGATTGCGTTTATGGGCGCGTTGCAGCCGAGGCAGCAGCAGCCACGGGGGTGCAGTGCGAATTGGACACGGAACTAAATCAACAAAGTGTTTGAGATTCGGCGAATTGGGCACGGATTCAGTCCAACGCCTGGCAGAATGAGATATGCGGCCATATTGAGAGCGAGGGAGATGGTAGGCAAGAGCCACAAGGCGAAAAGTTACTACATACTCCAAGATAGCTTTGTATCGAAACGATTTGAGTCGCATTGGATTGCTATCATCGTTGCCTACCACTTCAAAAAAAAATGTTTTAAACATTCATTACAGGAAATTATAGGACAGCAGTTGCTGGTTGAAAACTTTCGGTACAGCAGTTGCATGCCACCTGCTACCATTAAGTTAAGAAACATGACGCGGAGTTTTAAAAAAAGTTCGAAATTAATCAGAACTTGGCTCTACAAGATATTCACTCGGGTCGAGCCTTACCGATGTATTACATAACCTCATCAGCGTGTCGCCTAATCGGGTTAGAGGGTATTGGACGCAAAATCTGGCCAATGTCGATGATTTTCAACCGAACTCTTGCGACCGACACCCTTCCTCCCCCCCCCCCCCCCAACCAGACTGCAGCACTTTGACAAAGTTATGTCAAGCATCTCGAAGGCTTGGCCAGAAACAATTTCTTGTTGAGTAAGGGTCATATCTACATATTTGCTACTATAGTTCGTTTTTTTTTCAAAAGGACGCTGGCTCCAAGTATGTTTTTCGAAAAAGCACGCGTTTTAGCGAGCAAAACGAGCAAAAACTGAACTTGAGAAACTCGAACGTCGCCTTATTTTAACATGTGAATTATTCCCGATAATTTCCATCCGTGCCTTTTGGAGCCAGATATGGGAACAGTGGTGACGACATGCTGTCGAACTTGTTTTGCAATGAAGCGTATAACTATCATGGACGAAACCGCTTACTCGATTATAACCTCGGCAACAGTGAAAAACGAAGTTTTCCCCAAATTCGTCAAAACCTTGTCCCATCGTACGGACATTGATTGCCTGCTGCCACCAGTGACGTCATCATAGTATGCTAATTTTCCAAGACACAATTTCCAGGTACTTACCGTGCACAATTTGAAATAGAATATTTTTTCGGTAAGAAATTCTTGGCCAGACGCTGAAGCTGCCAAAACTCACGTGAGAGCTTCGATAAGGAACTTGGAGCCAGCGTCCTTTTGAAAAAAAATGAACTATATCAACTCAATTTTGTATTTTGAGATCACAGGTCAATGCAATCCTTTCCTTTTTATGCAAGAGATAACAACTTAGCTCAGGTACTGTTCGTGCATGAAGTTTTATTTGCCTAAATTTACCTATTCTTCAGACCACTACGCAACAAACCGGCCTGGGTTATTGGGAACTGTCACCACTAACCATAGCTAGAAATGTGTAAGATGCAGTGGCGCAGGTCAAAATCCTCCACAGGTCAAAATGTACCCATTGAAACGCTAACCACGGACAATGGTGGAATACTGGTTATAGCTACCACGATTCATCTCGGCTGACCTTATGCAAGGACAGGGGCCAAATGAATGTGATCAGAATGACAGACAGAGCACGGATTTCTGGTAGTCGCGTACGGCGCAGCAGGCGAGTGATTCTGAGTTATGAAGCAATCAATCACGCTAAGTGAAGTCTCCAGGACGTACCGAGAGCCCATTCATCAACCAGGTTGACGTCTCCAAAATCCCGATCACAGCTCTCTGAAGAGGCCGCAGTCAGAAGTCAAAGGCAGCGTGATTCCCCGTTTTCGGCGACGGAGAAGCAGCGGCACCAGCAACGATGGCGGCGGCGAAAAGCCAGGGCTTGCACAAAATAAGCAGAAAATTTTGCTTCGGTTGTTCTTTTGCCGGGCAACAGAACATACGCCAGTGCAGTGTCTCGTCGACGCCGCCTATTGGCCGCTGACTCCACCAGTGACGCACACTGATGGATCTGCCGCGCCACTTCCGGACAAACCACGCCACTTCCGGCACCGGAAGGACCCACTTCCGGTCACTGTAAGACACGCTTCCGGAGCCCCTCTCGTGTGGATTGCGGGTCCCAAGGTCCGAATATATCTTACCAGCCTGGGAATGACTAATGATGTGAGGGAAGCTGAATGTTATTCTGTAAGCTAAGATTTTCATGGAGCCAAAATCCAGTGGTTCTTTGTGATGCGTATTTAGAGTATGAATATGGATGTCAAAATGAAACAATTGCGTTGCTGGTGGACCAATTTCGTCAATTGAATTCTTCAGCGTCTTGCAATCAAACATGGAAAACAAGATAGCTGGTTTGATCACCAGTTTTTCGTTTCCCTTTTTAACAAAGGCGCTGATATTAAAGACGAAAACGGACAGGCAAGAATGCAAATGTTTTTCTTCTTTATTTTGGATATTCATATTCCTACTCTCAATAGGTACTTGTACATCATTTAATTCAATTGGTAGAAATTTTTGCTTCGAGACAGATCTTCACGGCTAATTGCACATGAGACAGCTTATCGATCGCACTCGATAAATCCTGAGCTCAGTAAAACGCAAGATGTCATTTAATCTTGTGGATCTTGGATCTTTCTTCGTTTTGCTTTTTGGTTCTTTGCAAATGAATGCCATAGTTTTATGAGTGTCCCATTTTGATCACCAATGATGTATCTATATCTAGTGTCTTCATTTCTGCTCCAAGCGCGTAATTCTTTTTTCCACCCAAAGGAAGGCGCTATACGGAGAATATCCCATTGCGTCATTGAAAAGTGACTTACACCTCTCACCGACCAGCTGGCTGCGTGGTGTTGTGGTGAGCACACTCGCCTCGTGATCTAATAACTAGGGTTTGATCCCCGCCGCCGGCCGAACTTTTTGGCGCGTTGTAGGTTAGGTTGTAGGTTTGTAGGTTGTAGGTTTGTAGGTTGTAGGTCTGTAGGTTAGGTTGTAGGTTAGGTTGTAGGTTGTAGGTTTGTAGGTTGTAGGTTAGGTCAGGTGAGGTTAGGTTATGTTTGTTTTTGTTTGGTTTGTTTACCAAGAAGCATCTTCGGGTATAGCGCCTTCCTTTGGTTGGAAAAAAGAAACACGCGCTCCAAGCAACAGTGGGAACCATATACAGGAAAGGAGCAAATGCGTAGACTCGGATCCATATTGTAGCCATCTATCATCAAATGGCATTCAGTTGGCATGTCATTAACAGTACGGTAACAAATCATACGGTATCAGCGGGCTGGGCCGCAGGGAGATCGTTATTCACTGCACGTAGCAAAGATGCACGTGCCTAAAACCAACTCAATTTACTACTGAACAAATACGGTATTAAGTCGATGATGGATAGACCTGGGATAGACTACGTATAGCTGGGTGTGTTATTGATTTTGTCGCAGATTTATCCCATTTGTTACGGAGCGAGCGAAGCGAGCGTAGTCTTTCCTTAGATTAACGGAAATTTCTGAGTACCAGTAAAACGCCTTTTGGGCGAAGAACGAGCGAGCGAGATAGTGAGCCCTGCACGTGCGAAAGGGCGAGAGGGTGCTTCCAACGGGCTTGCGCAAAGCACCCTTCTAACCGGTCGCTAGCGGTCTGCCAAATTTGAACGCAATCGGCCCAGCCGTTCCTGAGATCTGGAAGCGGCATTCTGCACGTGCGCACGTGCAAACGGGGTCCAAAATGACTTTTGCACGGCACCCTACTAACTGGTCCCCAACCGTGTACCAAATTTGAGCGCAATCGGCCCAGCCGTTCTCGAGATCTGGAAACGCCCCCTGCACGTGCGCACGTGCAGTAGCACCCTAACCGCAACACATGGGAATGCATTGCCTGGTGGGTGCCTACCTGTATGCCAAGTTTCAGCGAAATCGCCCCAGTACAGGGTGGACCAAAAAGGATGGAAACATTTTAAACTCGTATAAAACATGTATCATTGCATGCATGTGACTGGGAATGATACCAAACAAGAGTACATTTCGTGGAAATTCATAATGGCATCACTCTCATATGCTTTCTCTCGTTTTCAGCCTCTCACAGCAGATGTTCGAAGTGACCACCTTCGCGAGACAGGCACAGAGCGACCAGCCTGGCTGCTGACACGATAGCTCGCTTGTATGGCTCACACAGCCTTGCTGATCGCTCTCTTTAGTTCAGAGGCTTTCTGGACCTTCCTTGTAGACCTGGCCCTTGAGATGACCCCACAGTAAAACATCCATAGGGGTCAGGTCGGATGAGCAGGTAGGCCAGTTCCGATTGGCACCGCGGGATATCAGCCGGTCACCGAAGTGGTTTTCGATACACTTGAGCGTTGTTTTTGCGATGTGAGGAGGCGCACCGTCTTGCTGAAACCACATAAGGTCTATGATGAGGCTGCCATGCTTCGTTTGGACTCGCTCTCAGAACTTCCTCAGCGCCGCCTGGTATGCGCTGTTGATTGACGGTCACGGTGTCGCCGCTCCCTTCCTCGAACCAAAGTGGACCCACGATTCCTTTTCCGCTGAGGGCACACCATTTCGGTGA